ATTATGCATGGTGGACAACTTTCACTCAGCGAGTGGACAGGCAGACTGGATGCCGTTGATGCCGAACTCAATGCCCTGAGACCGCCTGAAACACCCGGATTTGACGGCGAAGCGACGCATGTTGACAGCGAGCTATTGGATGACGCTACCCAGCTTCCTGACGATTCACCATCCAAAGCGCCACGCATGACTGACGAGGAGAAGGTGGCTGCAGTGAAAAAGGCTGCTGAACAAGCAGCGACCTCCGAACTGCTTGGACGGCTACAGTTGACCAGGAAGTATTATAACGAGGCCATCCGGTTCGTTGAGGTGCTCCATTCCGCTTCCACCGTGGTCTCCCAGCTCTTATCATCGAGAAACAAGAGCGAAGCCATTGAAGCTATGGACTTCTTTGTGGTCCTTGACGCTTACAAGGTCGAAACCTCCCGGAGTGGGATTCGCCGTATGCTCCGACTCATCTGGACGAAAGGCAATAGCGATGAAGGCAAAGGGGTTCAGACTCACCTTATCGACTGCTACAAGGGACTTTTCTTCGAAGCGCCAACTTCCTTCACCCCCAACGATGCCGCAATCTACATTGCTCGAAACATGATCAGTCTGACTTTTGGCTCCACGCCGGCCGAGCTTACTTGCTTGGAACAATTGATCAGTACAATGATGAAAGCTGGTAATATTCCAGAGTCTGTTGTCTCCAAATTATGGCAAGTGTATGGTGTCCAGAAGAAGGAAATCTCAAAGACTCAGCGCCGCGGTGCTATAATCGTTCTTGGAATGCTCGCTTTGGCCGATCCGGAAGTGGTCATCAAAGAAATCGAAACGATACTACGGATCGGGCTCGGTAACCTGGGAAGGACCGATCTCGTTCTCGCCAGATACTCGTGCGTTGCACTACGAAGGATGGTACCAGGCCGCCAGGCCAAATCTAAGGACACGAACATACCTAAGCTTGCGAACGACCACCCTATCTTGACCAAACTCGCGGACATGGTTGAGGCCATTTCAGATAGTAAAGAGTGGTATGGGGTTGCAGAGCAAGCTATTGGAGCAATTTACGCGCTCTCGAAGCATCCTGACGTTCTCTGCTCTGATATCCTCAAGCGCAAGACCAAGTTTGTCTTCCAGCCACAAATGCAACGCTCGCCTTCAAATGTGGGCGAAGAAGAGGAACAACGGCCCGGAACTGCGTCCACCGACAGCGAAGACTCAAAACTCAAGACCTCCTCCGCTGCATTGTCTCAGCTATTATTTGTCGTTGGCCATATTGCCATTAAACAGATCGTGCACTTGGAGCTGTGTGAACTTGATTTCAAACGTCGCAAAGCAGAGCAGGAGAAGAACAAGGTTTCCACATCGACTCAAGACAACGAAGCGGAGAAGGACGAATTGGACCTCATTGGCGGGACAACCGAGGACGACTTCACAGACGCCATGGCGCATATTCGAGAACGAGAACTGCTCTATGGAGAAAACTCGCTCCTGTCGAACTTCGGCCCTCTTGTCGCCGAGATCTGCGCCAACAGCAATATATACTCTGACCGGAATCTCCAGGCATCAGCGACCTTGTGTCTGGCCAAGTTGATGTGTGTCTCGGCAGAATACTGCGAGAAGAACTTGCCCCTGTTGATCACAATCATGGAGCGATCTGAAGATCCCACCGTCCGCAGCAATGCAGTGATCGCCCTAGGCGACATGGCCGTGTGCTTCAACCATCTGATCGATGAGAACACAGACTTCTTATATCGTCGACTCAATGATGACGATGCTTCCGTCAAGCGCACATGTCTGATGACCCTTACCTTCCTCATCCTTGCCGGTCAGGTCAAGGTCAAGGGACAGCTGGGCGAGATGGCCAAGTGTCTGGAAGACGACGACAAGCGGATTGCCGACTTGGCTCGCATGTTCTTCACTGAATTGGCGAGCAAGGACAACGCTGTGTATAACCATTTCGTCGACATGTTCAGTCTCTTGAGTGCCGAGCGAAACCTGGAGGAGGCTTCACTCAGACGTATCGTCAAGTTCCTCATTGGATTCGTTGAAAAGGTAAAAAATTCCACTCCCAACACATATGCATACATGAACTCGGAACTAACACTGCCCTTCAAGGAAAAACACGCTCGGCAATTAGCCGACAAACTCGCTGCCCGACTTCCCCGGTGTGAAACAGAGCGCCAATGGAATGATGTGGCATACGCACTGTCTCTGCTTCCGCATAAGAATGAAGATATCACAAAGACAGTGACGGCAGGTTTCAACAAAGTCGTCTCAGCAAACGCTTAGGCTGAAATTGAAATGTTGCTGGTGTCTTTTCTGGTTAAGTTTCTGCGGGGTTTGGTCGGAATGGTTTGCTTTATTCAGATATAGGGGCGCAAGATGTGTCTGGTTTCTTTGGTGATGGTGTTGTTGTGGCTTTACAGCGTTGGATCAACGTGCTTCATGAATTTATGTTCCTTTCTATGTATTTACTTTTCAAAATAATTCTCAGTGGATACTTATTATATTCTTTTTCCCCCCACATACTTCGACATCTGTATGTTGAGATCTGCCCATGTACGCGCACTGGCCTCAGGTGTGGCTAATCAACTGTGTTGAATCTCCATTGTGCTGAATATGAAAGGCTTGATTTAATGTTATATTTGTTGGCAGTCGGGCAAACTGGCTTCAAAAAAGCATGAATTAGAGTTTGGTTCAATTGAGAACGATACCGCAGCCTTATGTTAAAGGTACAGGTTCATGCTTTGCATAATTCTCTCCGTACAATATAACAAGACAAGTTGTAACAGTGCAAAAAACCCAACGAAAAAGATTAATCACGACCTATATGGTCTCTTTACCAGATACGCCAAACCCACAAGACGTTCATGTATACCGAAAGCAGCAAGCCGCTATGACTCTATGCACCCTGTGTTTCGTTCTCCTCGAGTAGATACTCATCATGGCGCAGGCCTTCCAACGCTTTATACCCTTCTTCAGTCAACTGGGGTTTCCCCAAGGGCGTAACAGCCTCGGTGAAGAAGCGAGGTTGCCACTTCTCGTTGCGGGTCTGTCGTTCGGCTGCCTTTTGCCGTTGCCGTTCCTCAATATCCTGCTTGAGTTTGGTTGCTTGGCTGTATTTCTTGTTCACTATCGCTGTCGTGACACCCGACCAGAACCGACGGGACTCGTTGGTCAATTGATTGTCTTCCGGTGGCACGCTTTTGGCAACTGGGAAAAGCGGCGCGAGATCAATCAAGACCTGAGGCTCGTTGGTTCCAGCCAAAGTATAGTATACCTTCCCGTGCCATGATCCACTGATCTTGGCGAGAACATCACCGTCGGGGACGTCCTTGATCTTCGTGGTGGTATCTTTATCAGGATTATACCGGAAAATGACACCTTCGACCTTGTTCTGGGCTCGGCCAATCCAGCCTTCCTCTAGGTACTGCAGGATCACTTTGATACCTGTCCGGGAGCATGTGATGTAGCACGTATCTGACACGGTGATAGCCAGTGCTCCCCTCAGCAGGCCCCCTAGGTGAGCGTCAGGGTGGGTTAACTGATACTCCTCATTATCTCTCTTTTCGATATTGATGAAGATGCCCAGATTATGTTGGCCCGGGGCGACGCGAATACTCGTGCCTGTGAACTTCGCACTGATCTGGTCAAAGCCACGAGCTGAAACGCCTTGTTCAGGGCAGTCGATGAAGAATGCGGACACTGGTGGATGATGAGACGTTTGCTCGGTCAAGTAGCATACCTTGACCGGTCCACCGCTGTCCTTCTTGGCGGCAGGCGCCGTATTTGTTGCACCGCTTGCCTTGGACGGTACTGAAACTTCTGGCAGAGACTCGTTGACCTCCCAGGTACACTAGGACGGGCGTCATGGATTAGAGAGCGGGTAAGACAGGGGGAGATGAATTTATGCAATATTAATGGGAAATGGAACTGTCAAGGGACAACGCCCGACTTACCCTGAAGAATTCACCGAGTGTAGAGTTATACGGCTTGCATGGTTTGCCCTTGATGTATTTCTGTGGCATGTTCAGCAAACGTCCCGAGGAAATATGATCAAGAACGTTTGGGTAGATGTACCAGGTCCTTGGTAAACCAAAACCTCAAAACCTCCAACATACGACCCAGCGGGTCATCTGATTTACCAATGCTGCAACTCTCATGTCAGAAATGGAGGTTCGGTGGCAGTGTAAGCATCCTTGCTGACCTTGCAAAGGTCTCCGGTCTATCCAAGTAGTTCCAGTATTCTGATTGGGATGTCAGTATCCATCGAGTATAGCGGGTCCTTGTTTGGGTCTAGAGATTGACCTACCTAGATTAGGCGTGGGCTCGAGGAGATGTGCAGGCAATGAGAAACGAACGGAGGCGATGTCAGCTACCCCGATGAACCTAGCAGAACATTGCCACGATGTTAGCATCAAGCCACTACATGAGGGCAAAGTAGCCGGTGCATACTTGCGCAGTATAGACAGAAAGGTCTTGAGCTTCGAGGAATCATCGGGAGCCTTTTCGGGAGCATCGGAAGCCGTAGCGGACGACATGGCGACCCCGATGCCCAGAGACAGAGAGAGAAGAGATAGCACAACCGACGAAGGCGAGCAATGAAACTATCGCGGGGACCGAAGGTGGCAAGCCGCAAGTGTGAAGACTAGCTGACAACTTGACCGGCGTCTAGATCCAAGTATATCACTATGCGCCAGAAAATAAACCAGCACCAAATGAGACTGTTAGTCCACACAAAACGCCGAGAGGAAGAGAAAAGAAAAAGGTCTGAAGTGGAAGAAGTTGTGGAGCAAAAGAGTCATGATCCACCAGAGATATACTGAAACAAGGCGGTGCGGATGCGGCCTTTGGACTTTAGGCGGTGACGTTCTTTTTCGGTCGTTTAGTCACGCCGCCAGTCGCGTCACGTCCATCTACTACCACTACTACTCCCCTCGTTTTGGTACTTTGGATGCTACAGGTCAATAACCTGGTCAACTTATTATAACATCCTTGGCTATTGTGATCCTTCTATAGACACCTGACTACCATTGATGGTACTATACTAGTAAACCCGCAGAAATCAGCCACAGAACCTGTATTACCCCATGGATCCATCCGAGGTCCCTACTTTAACGTCTGCGGGCGGCTTGTCGTCCAATTGGCGCAACACGAGGGCGCCTTTTTCCCTTGCATTAGTCGTCTTGAGACTACGGAGTACAAGGCCAATACAGATGTAGTCAACCATCTTACAAGTGCGGTTTCATACCCTCTATCCGATTGTATGTGGAACCAGCAGGTATATCTATAATGCGACATGCGACATACAACACAGACGACCTTCTCAATTTCTGGTGGAAGGAGTGGATTAAACTGACCAACCCACTGCGTATATGGATCCTGTTGGCATCGCACTTGTGAGTATTAACCAAATACACCGAGGAGATCCCCCTCCCCCTTACTTGCTAAGTCAAGTCCTCCATCGTGCCCTTCCGGGCTAACAACCGCACCCACGCGCGAATAGCAGGGCCGTAGTCATACCGCCGCCCCGCTGCGTAATCGTCGTCGGCTTGATTGGATTGCTGTTCGTCCCGAATGGCAGCTCGGAGCCCTCCCTGTGCTGCACTCAATTGCTCCCGGTGTTGGAGGAGTTCTTGAGGGCCGCACGATCGGTACTGCTCGAGTCGGGCCTCAGGGATTGTTGCCTCGTCGATCGCCTCTCTAGTCAGCGCGTAGGAAGCATGGGGTTCCAGAAGGGTATTCTCAGGGAGAGGATCAGTAAACGCGTGTTCGCCACAGTCTCCTGGGTTGTGGTTGAGAGAAGATAGGCGTTGATTGACCATTACCAAGCTGCGCACATTGATTGCCAATTGGTCGATTGCATCGACAAGCGGATCTTTTGAAAGACTTAGGACGGAAAACTCGATCCGTCCTTCTTCATACTCAGCCATCCGCTTAAGTATATCCGACTTGACCAAATCCAGCCAATCCGTGTCTGGTGTGCAGTCCCCTGCGTGCCTCTTTTTTTAGAAAAAATTGCCTCACGTGAAGACTCATCGGACGTACCAAGCGACTGGGGCTGGCGCTCAAGGCCATCGAACTTCCATACCCTGTCCAGAGCGGGCACAAATGCAACAAAGTGGAACCCAGAATCTGGCTCGCCGTCGTCATGATCGTTCTTTCTGGAACTTGATCGTCTGGACAATGCCTCGTGCTTAAGCGAAAGGTCGCAGTTAAGGATGTCCATCCTTCTGTTTTGGGAATGAGACCGTATTGCTAAGAGGGAAAGCTGGCAATGGTCGACCTACCTTGCAAAGGAATTATGTATCCGTTTGACAAAATCGAAGTTACTGATAGCGTCCCCTCTCAGTGCCGGGGTGAATGGCATAGTAAAGTCCTTGAACTGTTGCAAATTCTCGCCCAGGTCAACTCCTTCGATATTATTGACAATGTTCAGAAGCGCCACACTAGCACAGGAATTGCTAGCCGTCTATTTTGGTAATCAGCGATGGGCGCACTCTTGCAATGCCAAAGTAGTTAGGTAGATACTAACTTGATTCGCAAACCATAACCCATCCGGGCAGCTCGCTTCTTGCTTGTTTGGGTCATCTTCGCGCCACCGAAACAAGAAAATAAGCCCATATATAGGCTTGCTATTCGGATGGAACAGTTAATACGTAAGGCGACCGACCTGCCGGGAAATCCCACGCGGCACTCACTTTAGAAATTCCATCATCTCTTCGTCCAAGGAAATCACTTCTTGGACCTTGACCCCCTTCACCCCAAATTCTCGGAGCATTACGTTGAACAGAGCCTTGCCCATAGTTAGCCCAGAGCTCACGGCTAACAACCTAGAAGAGCGAAGAAAATGGTAGATATACCGGGACGTACCGGTTCTGATTCGATCTCGCAAAATCCGTTCCATTGTTGCTTCTCCTGCACGGTTGCCGATCGAAAAGGATCCGTAGCAGCACAGTCATCTTCTGGTGGGTTTGACTGCGCGTCCAGCCGTCTTCGTTTAGTAGGCTGGGTCATTATCAGAGCCTCGTTGCTTGACGATCAACTGAGTCCTATATTTGCGACAGCTCAAGTATGGGATGGAAGAACTGATCCGAGTCAAGAGCACGACGTCTTCTTCTAGGCAAGAGATTGACCAGTGATTGTACAATGAGATATGAGGACTGGTGTGTCTTGCAACCTCAAAACCGTACGTATAGCTCGGTGCAGTGCAACGAAATAGCAAGGCCTTCACATCGACAGAACCCTTGAGAGTTATTATACCCGATCATAAGGTCCAAATCGACTCTAGTAGGTACCTGAGGTCCGGAGATTGTTAGATCCAACAGCTTCGCAGCAATCGACACTGAATGTTATGTACAAGTCGTAGCCCACAGATGGTAGCCGATCTTGTACTTACATAGCTACCAGTAGATGCAGTGATGGAGTGATATCTACCCGGTAGATCGGATTGGAGAAAGAGGGCTGTACTGTAAAGTCAAAGAAACGCAGGAGCAGCTTCTGCACCTTACCCTCTTCCTACTAGTGTAGCACTCCAGACAGTCAGAGGGGGAAGGTGTAGGTTGGTAACTGTCCGATCTGGACTTTTTGTGATTGGATCAAGCTGTCGGACGGACGCGCGACTCCACGCGTTTATCCGCCACTGAGTTCGGAAGCTGCAGCTTTTGAATAATAATGATGATGATAATAATAATATAATATAGATAGAAGAAAATAATTCACTAGATAAATATAAATAAAACAACAAGAATCATTTCTTTCATATTGACACCGGTAGAGGCACTCAAGGTTAGGTTACAATTCCTGATGATCATCACCTGAAAGTTTGATTCACCGCAGGAGCTCCGACTAAATTCCTCAAGACTCCAACTGCCTTTCTTTCCACCCTCAGCGAGCTCCGAACTTCTCCATTCCCACCCTCACTCCCCTCTTGCATTTTTTTACGTAGGTCTGTTGCGACTCTAGAAAATTGGAAATCCGCTGTCTGCGTTTTAGGTACGTTTCGGAGATCATTACGATCCTGCATATCGTTTCGTCACTTCTTCATCTTCATATTCCTTTTGCCTTTCCTAATCCAATCTTCCAAGTAGGATTTTCCCGCGAATCCTGCGCGACCACAGCATGCCATGAACGGTACTCCCCGACTTCGTTCTGCCTTTCCCCAGACGCCACAAACGGTCCGGAGGTCAAGGGCCCATGACACCACCCCGAAACCCAAAGTTCGCGACGCATCGTTGCCGAAATCTCCGTCGAGACCGACCCAGGGCCAACATGGGCCCGTGCCGCTGGTTCCTGTGGAAATAATCGATCCGCCGTCACAACGATTGTACGTGGTGGCATTTTACTTGGCCCTCAATGCTTGGAGGATATATGAATCTTGGACGGCTTCCGACGACCTGGACTCGACTTGGCTGTTTTTGAAATGGGCCTCCATCGATGGCATTTTCCTCTTTGGGCTCCAGGCGCTGCGGATTCCCTGGATGGAATGGGCCTTTCCGACTACTCTTGCCATATTTCTTCTCCACGTCGCCGGGAATATATTCTTAATGTTTCGGATCCCGGTGAGTGCCCCATGCGCGGACCGCCATGCGACACCTCTTGCTAACAATGCGACCAGGTTCCGTTGGGCGCATGGCTGTCGGGTATGATCAAAGTGGCATACGACCGGGAATTGTCGATATCCGAGCGCAGTGTGAAGCCGGGGGACATCATCCATAATAGCTCGCTTATCTTGGGAAAGCAAATCGTCCACATCCTTCCAGAGGGGTGAGTTCATCCTCGACTGTCTCTCCAATCGTCCTGCTGGCATATGTGGCTAATTGTTACAGGTTCGCCGTTCTCAATCCCGACCAAGCACCGTTTTGCTTAGATTCACATAAGAGCACCGTGAATCTGCCCATTCGAATCAACCAAACAAACCCCATCTCGATTGAGATTTTCCGCCTAGATTTCAACTCTGGCGGCAACGAGACCATCACGTTCTCTCAGAAGCAGTTGAAACCGTTGAAACGCCAAGCGGGTCAGAAAAAATCACGCTCGGACCGCGACTCGTCCCTGGATCTTCTCCTCCCCATCAAGCGTCAAGGCATCTACCGTCTCAAGAGGGTCGTGGATGAGTCCAACCTTGACGTTCACATGCGCGCATCTGATGCGCTTGTTGTTTCTTGTCCCAAAGCAGTGGCCCAGGTTTCACATGCACATAAATGCCGGGGTGAGCTCTCGAACCTGGTACTGACTGTTGAAGGTACGCCACCGTTGCAAATCAAGTATAGCAGGCAAATCAACGGCCTCGACCGCGGGTTCTCCTTTCAGAAGATCCAACCGGATCATTTGCGGTCCCCATTGTTGGGCCAGAGGAATTCCGGTATCTTTTTCAGTTCACGAGAGCTGGACGTCTCCTGGGCCCAAAGCCAATCGATTCAAGTTCCTCTAAATGAGTCCCTGAACGTCGGGGGTGAATGGCTGTATACCATCGAAGAAGTCCATGATGGCTCCGGAAACGTTGCAAACTACTCGATGAACGCAGATGAATCAGATCATTCCGCGGGGAAGTCCTTACCTCCGTCTCACCAGATCGCTGTCCACGAAAGGCCGAGGGTGTCCTTGTCAGGATGTAACGATCAGAACTTCATTGAGGCTCCACGGGGTGAGACAGTCAATCTACCATTGAAGTTCCAGCATTCAGGACGAGACTACGAGAACGACGGTCCCTTTACCCTCACGTATGCCTTCAATGGGAACGAAGATGCATCCGCCAGTGGTATGCCCGGGAAAGTTCGTCAGTTGTCTCTAGGGACTCTGGATCAGAAAAGTTATATCAGAGATCCCGGATGGTACAGCCTAAACCATGTCGCCAGCCAGTTTTGCACAGGAGAAGTGCTGGAGCCGTCGTCTTGCTACCTTCATAATCCTCCTGAACCTGAGTTGGCTGTCAAGTACGAAAAGATTTATGATAAATGTGCCAATAACCCCGTCGGCTTACTTGTCGACCTGGACCTCACCGGCTCTCCGCCATTCAGGCTCCGATATGTCGTGGAGCGACCGAAAGGTGTCGAGACTAAGACATTGACGATTGATGGCCTACGAACCCAAATTGACCTAACTCCGTCGGAGGCAGGATCTTATCGCTATCGCTTCCTGGACATTGCCGATACCGTCTACGCGCCCAGGTCGCTCAAGGATAAAACTCCTGTTTTGGAACAAGACGTGAAACCTCCCGCCTCGGCCCAGTTCCTTGGATCGAGAGAGCGGCGCAGGGCATGCTTTGGAGAGCCCGTGGCGGTTGATGTGGCTTTATTCGGTGAAGCGCCGTGGACTTTGCAATATGAGCTGGTCCATAATGGAAAGAAGAGCAAACATACTCTGAAATCCGAGGGTGATATTGCCACGATCATGACGGAAAAGCTCATCAGTGGTGGTGAATACAACCTCGTACTAACAAGTATCAAAGACCGCTCGAATTGCAAACGAACTCTTAAGGATAGTGTCACGATCGAAGCTCGATCAAAACCACCGCAGGTAGCGTTTGGCCAGATTGAAAAGAGTAGGGAATATTCAGCCTTGCAGGGCACCCCGGTCGATATTCCCCTCAGACTGAATGGGGAGCGACCATGGCTAGTGATGTACAGAAACTTGGATGCAGACGCGTCTGTAACCGAACAGACCTTTTGGCAGGAAAATAGTGTCTTAACTGTGAGCCAGGAAGGTCGTTATGAGCTCGTTGGGATAACCGATAGCTCGTGTCCTGGTCACGTTGATCAGACAGCCAACATCTTCCAGGTATCCTGGATACCGCGGCCTCATATTACTGCAGTGGATGGTTCGCCTATTGGAAAGGCCGAACGTGTGGCGAAGCGCGATGTTTGTCAAGGCGATGATGACAGTGTTGAGCTTCGGTTCTCAGGGAGCCCGCCGTACAGCATCCAGTATGAACAGCAGCGAAAAACAAGCCGTGGCTCGTCCTCCGTCCGATTGCAAAGTTTGAAAACAGCACTTCAGACAGCATCCCTGGAAATGGATACCTCCGAGGCTGGAACCTACACGTACAAGTTCACGGAAGTCGGAGACAACCTTTATGACCATGACCCGGGACGCACCCCCGTGGTTTTGACCCAAACAGTCAACCCGCTCCCATCGGCCAAATTCGACGCCCCTGGCCGTATCTACGGATTCTGCAAGGAAGATGTCAGCGGCGAAGAACTCATCCCGATCACCCTGGAGGGAGTTCCTCCATTCGCGCTCGAAATCTCCATCAAACACCACTCAAAGGCCAAGCCAGAAGTTGTGACCATACCTAACATCAAATCCAACAGGCACAACCTTCCTATTCCTCGGCGTCACTTGGATTTGGGGCAGCATGTCGTCAGCATTAACAAAGTCCGAGACTCGCGTGGATGTCAAACTACGACCGAATATGACGCCGCCTCTGTGAGAGTGGCCGTTTCCGATGTGCCGACTATCATCCCCTTGGAATCCAAGACCGATTACTGTGTTGGCGAACGGCTTTCGTTCTCGCTGTCTGGACATGCTCCGTTTGATGTATTCTATACATTCGATGGCGCCTCCAGAAAAGCTTCCTCCAAGACCACTAATTTCCGCCGCATCGCCGAGCGACCCGGTGTATTCACCATCACTGGGGTCAGCGACGGGGCGAGCGGTAAATGCAAAGCACACAAGAACATCGTCAAGACTATCCACGAGATGCCTAGCGTCCGGATCAGTAAGGGACAGACGTCGATAGTTGATATCCACGAAGGCGGAGAGGCTGAACTCCATTTCGAATTCTGGGGAACCCCGCCTTTCGAATTTACGTATGTTGCTCAGCCCTACAAATGACCCAACAATCACAACCGAAGACAGACAGACTAATTATTGTTTAGGTACATCCGGAGCTCAAACGTGCGGAAAGGAAAGAAGCCGGACATCCTTGACATCAAGCATGACGTCTCGAACGAGTACAAAAAGACCATCAAGACTTCCGACGAAGGAACTTACGAAGTCGTCGCGATCAAGGATAAATTTTGCTCGTTTTCCTCGCAGGAACCGGTAGAAAGGGCAGGCAAGTCAAGGGCGAGTTCTTGAACAGACTAGGAACATTGGAAGTTGTTGTCTTGATAGTTATCGGGTGTGCGTTTCATGTCTTCATTTAGGGTACAATGACTGCATTAACGGCGCTGTTTATTTTTATTTTTTCGTCACAAGCAATATACAAATTATCCACCTAACTACCCCTTGACCGTAATCCTGCTGACCATGTCAGCCCCTACCCGTGAGATTTCATTTAAGATAGCTTCACGGTTGATGGCAACACGGCCATCTTCCTCGTCGGCCTTCGGGACCGTCGAATACGCCATTTTCAAGTTCCACGCTTTTGGTACTATCGTTGTCGGATTCCAGATTCCAGCGATCACATCGCAGTTTTCATCTCCGTGGAAGAAAAGGATGTTCGAACCAAATGAGGATTGCAGGTCGCGGACAAAGGATTTGACGGCGTTGTGTTTGGCAGTCAGATCCCGAGAGTTTTGCTCGTCAATGTTCTTGTATTTCCCAGACAACTTCAAACTATCACCGGACTTGATCGGGCGTAGGTCGATGGTGAAGTCGTAAGGCGCTAGGGACGTGCTGAATAGTTTCGACACGTCGAGTGCGCCACCTTCCTCTCTGAGGAGTTTGATGGCCGCCTTGGCTAGCGTAGACATTCGGGCTGCAACCACCTTTGAGGGCGTTTCGTATTGTGTCCAAGTAATGCCATCAACATCAACGTCGGATGCTGCAAATAGAACAACCGAGTTCATCCCTGGGTCGACACTCCGCCACGCGGAAAACCGAGTGCGGATTTTTCCAATAGTGTCCTGGTCTAGTTCCCCCCCTAGGTCTACCATCAAGGGGTCTTGTCGCCAGTCCCATCGCGAGAGAAAGTGGAGCGTTCTTAGAAACCCCAGCATTATGGTGGACGGAGGCTCCCACGGATATGGCTGGGTGAAAGACCGAACAACCAGTAGCTCAATCAGTTCCTCCGAGACGTGACCTGTAAACAGGTGGCTAGCAAACCAATGTTTTACCAGGCGGATTGTTGGAGACAGGCACGGGAAGCGGGTGCATAGCGTGCGAATGGCGAGTGTCAGGCGGGGCAACTGGATAAAGGTCCGCTTGTACATAGACAGAGCGTATGTGATCTCTTGTTTTCCTTGTACGGTTTCTGACTTCTCTTTGAGCTGACGTTCTAACAAGACCTGTTCCCGCTCATGGTAGATCCGGAGGCGGAAAGTGACGCCAGATACATCAACGTCCAGGAAGCCAGTGTTCAGGTATCTGCTTGACTCGTTCTCTATTCCGACATTGCAAGATGCAATCCCGGCTTGCTTCATTGAATCCCCGATCTTGATAAGGAATGCCAACTTTGTCATTTGGATGGCCACCAGATCATCGGGCCATCGACCGGAGCTTTCAAACTGAAGTACAATATCCACTGGTTGACGGGTTTTCCGGACATGCAGCGCAGTGTATCGGAGATGTGAGCTCGCTGGGGCCACATGTCTGATAGTCAACGGAACTTCGTCCATGGTTTGTAATTTTTTCTCCAACGATTGGAATGCATCATTGATGAGTTGGAACGAGGGGTTGGAATACGACAATATGCCGTCACCATTTTTATAGAGTTCGTCGTCATACTCATCGCCGATGTAGTGAATATCATGCTCAACAAAGTCAAAATGCTGCGGCAGAATATACAACAAAATCTGATGTACAATAGACGGTGCGGTTTGGTCTTCAGACCATACCAAACTCTCTCGAATGCTCCCATCTTTGAAACGTCTGAGCTCGGCCTTTTGTCCCCAGAAAGCTTGGAACGATTCGGCCTCTGCCTTCTGTTCCGCTGCTGGTCCATGGTCCACAGCGCGTGTGGCATTTTCGGGGTTCAAGAGTAGTGCAACGGAAAAAGCCTTGTCCATGTCTTTGCGAGATGGTTTGGCGTTCACACGCCAAGAACTAGTGCAGCGACCATGAAGGTAAATTTGCTCCACCCTATCGCCTAATGCTCTTGAAAGTACTTGGTAAATTGCGTTCCAATTGCGGACAGTTCGAAGAATGTTGAACTGATCCGAAGTCGGCAGCACCATGAGACGGTCGAATCTGAGCATGGGCTCGTTAACTTTCAAAATGAACACGCTCTCAAAGTTATCATCACGAGACTCATTCAACATCTGAACAGTATTTTTTGCTTCGTGACGAAGAAATCCATAAGACCAAGATGTCATTTTGTAAAGGATATTCTGTCCTCTTTTGCCATCGTAAAGCACGGGCGTGTCACTGGGGAATTGGATGTCCGAAGAATGCAATAACAACGGTTTCATCAAATCCATTCCTGCAAGAAATTGTACAGTAGCTTTAAAAAGTTGGTAGCTACTGTAGGACTTCAGGAGAACAGGCTTCCCATTTGGCCCCCCACCTTCAAGTAAAATTGCCATCAGCGTAGTCCACTCGAATCCTCCGAATCCCCCGGTTTGGAATGAGGGGCCAAAGCCCCGTTGCTGAAGCCAGATTCGACCAAGCGCACATGCATCTTTGAAGGACTCGCAGTTTCGGATAGCTGCGTAATGAGACTTGTGGTAAGACGCCACGGTAGATTCCGCCCGGAGCGCCCCATTGTAAAATGGAGTTGATTGTTCACGATCCCCATCCTCGGTGGAGTTCTGGCGTATATTATTTTTCAAAGGTAAGGTCCGTGTGACGGGAAATGTGCCGTCTTCGATCGCAGTAATTACACGAATTTGGGTTCTCATGTGTCCCTTTTCCATGGTGTCGGCTGGCTGCAAAACGAGAATCGGACGAAGACTATCGCCATCCTGCAATTCGAACTTGACATCCATGTCGGCGTCTTGAGTCTCTCTAATCCCTGCCGCTAGGCATGAGATATAATAAGCTCTTTTGTGAAAGAATCGATGGTTGACATAATCTTTTTCCTGGAAAAGTGAGCTCGGCATCGTCACTGCCAAGTCAACAGTGTAGATAGCATCAGGCTTGACCCCTGTTCTGAGCGCAAAGCTGCCTACAACATTCACATTCGACGGTCGGGCATATGCCACGGTATATTTCGTATCTTTTCCTGGACGCGGTTCAGGATACGGTACAACTATGTCGTGTACGCGCCGTAAGTCCTTTTCGGCGTCAAAGGCTGGTTTGGGTGATATCTCGGGAAGCCGTTCAAAGATGTCTTTCACTTTGCGAAGAGTTTCCTGAATTCTTGAAACTTGTTTATCGTAATTAGGTCGCGATTCGGCCAGCAACTCATCCAGCTGTAGTTTGAAAAGGCTAGACTTGTAGAAGCCGCTGGCAGAGGCGAGCTCCGCGGATTGATCGTTCTTTTCGCCATGGCGTTTGTTCATGGTAGCTGCACCCGGTCCTTGACTTTTGGAATTATCATGGCTGTTCAGAGATTTGCCGGCATTTTCCGAGGAAAAGTTCGTCTTTCTTCGCTTCGCTGCGTGATCTGACATGGTTGGGTAGTTTGTTTATGTATGAGGGAAGCGAATGTGCTCAGGCAAAGAACGGCGCAACCATTAACCCCATAAGGATTTCTTGACTTTTTTTTTTTTTTTCCTGCCATATTGTCTCGGCGCGGTAATCTAATCCCCGATCTTCCACAAAGCACGTGATGATAACTACACCGCCCTCGAGATAATGAACATTTATATATGAGTTAGTAATCACAGTAGAGTGCAGATCTAAGTTTCTTGACGGCCTAAGGCATCGCCGAAGTCGCTCTTGCGAATAGCGCAATCACTCGATTATATCATAACATTACCTATTCCTTTGGCCTACCGTACACCACACATCCTCTTTTCTACCTTTCCTCCTCGTTTGGGACTTTCAGAAAGGAGTGGGAATTTCAATCGAAAGTCATAACTCTCACATCATGCTCCAGGAAATTGGAGGTCCGGTCCCGCCGAACACTGACCATGTATGTCTGAACCCCGCCCTTTGCTTAACCCTGTATTCGCGGCAATTAGGTGGGGTCAACTTGATATGAACCTCTTTTCCATAACTGTCGCTGTGTTTTTATGCAAACATGTATATCATGATTGGCTAACAGAGTAAAAGGCAGTCAGTGTATCGCTTCCAACATGGAAGGCCACCGTTGCGTACGAAGAAGGTGAGCCGTGGATTGTACGGAAAATGCAGTGCGGCTACCCTCGGTTCTTTGTGCACCCTACTATTCAAGAGCTTGCTCTAGAAGTTGTGCAGCGCCACGGAAACCCCGAGACGGAGACTGCGACGTTGTTTCCCTCTCCGAAGACTGCTGAGATCTGTCATTCGTTCATTTCGACAAAACTACCTGCCGAGGAATCGCGCAAAGTCCGCATCCTGAACTTTGTCCCATCTACGACGCACACAGAGGCTCAATCTTCCGCCGTGACATCACTTCTGTCATGTGTGGTGTATCCAAAGGAATATGCGTCGATTGCCAAACAAGTATGGCAGCATAGCGGGAATGGTGTTTCAAGTCGCAGGGGCGAGTTCTGCCTCAGTGCCTTAAGGGACGGTTTCCTTATTAAGAAAGAACACGCCGTGGCAGACGAAACATCTCAAAAATTCTCCAAAGGTCCACGAAGATACCGAGGGAAGGATTCCATAAGCGGAATGTCTCGAGGGACTGGAGTACACGCAACTTCGGACCATTCTCCCGAAAAATCCGGGAACCAAGACGGGCGAGAGTATCTGCAGTTCATTGAAGAACGCTTTGGTCGCAATCTAAGCACCTCGCTCGCCGACCAGGCCAAATTGGCGGTGCGCAGACGCATAGCAGGTGTTTTGACTGCTGATTTAGACTTGAATGCAGCTCTAGAAGAAGCATCGGGGGAAGGAAGAATACCGGGATTGACAGAGTCTGACGTGTTTCTTTTCCCCACGGGCATGAGCTCAATTTTCAATTGCCATCAGATGTTGATGGCTGCAAGAGGTGGCATGACTAGCATTTGCTTTGGCTTTCCTTATATCGACACGCTAAAAATTCTTCAGAAATGGGGTCCTGGCTGTCTATTTTATGGACATGGCGCGTCTGAGGACCTGGATGATCTGGAGTCGCGGCTTGTCAATGGCGAAAGGTTTCTTGCACTCTTCACCGAGGTTCCTGGAAATCCATTACTCAAGACTCCTGACCTCCAACGTATCCGTTCTCTCGCAGACAGATATGATTTTGCAGTGGTGATTGATGAAACAGTGGGCAGTTTTCTCAACATTAACGTACTCCCCTATGCAGATATTGTGGTCAGTAGCTTGACAAAAATATTTAGCGGGGATAGTAATGTTATGGGAGGAAGTGCCGTTCTCAACCCTCATGGACAATACTACCAGACTCTTAAGGAAACATTCCTTGCTGAGTACGAAGATAACTACTGGGCAGAGGATGCCGTTTTCCTGGAGAGGAATAGTCGTGATTTTGTGTCAAGAATCGAGAAGATAAACCACACAACCGAAGAAGTTACAGCAATGTTGAAGAATTCGACAGTCGGTAGGTCAATACTGGGAGCTTCTTCAATCTCCATCCTGGACGAATCTTCGTTCTAATCTTGCATACAGTGAAAAATGTCTACTATCCTAAGTGGAACCCTTCGAGGCCTTTGTATGAAGCCGTACGGAATCCAGATGGAGGTTATGGCGGTCTTTTCTCAATTACCTTCCATTCTGCCGCCGCTGCAGTTGCGTTCTTTGACCATCTTGAAGTGCATAAAGGACCCAGCCTGGGAACCAACTTCACCTTGAGGTAACCCTACAACCGCCCTTTATTCTCCTCTTCGTCCCTCTTTCCCTCACCTTCCCGGGATTGGGCGGCAGTGGTACTGACTGGAAACTAGTTGTCCTTACACCCTATTGGCTCACTTTAGTGAATTGGAGTGGGTATGTGAATTTTTCTTCCCTTCCTCTTTCAAATTAGCTGTGTTGCTCTTGAAATTCTGACATCTCCCTCCCAGGCAAAATCTTTCGGTATCGATCCTAACTTAGTGCGAGTAAGTGTCGGACTTGAGGAGCTGCCGGAACTCCAGTCTCGGATTCAAGCAGCTCTGGACGCAGCTACGAGTGTGTAAATCACATTCCAATAATTTTTTTTATTAAACTTTGCCCTCTTGCATAGCCGCTGTCGCCGTTATAAATCAAGTGACAGATCTGATCTTTAAATTGGCCCGCACTAAAACGCTAGATTTCAATTTGTACATAGTCCTGCTCTAGACATTTAGATGGCAACATGAGTTAGTTGGCTCTCATTCTAGCATGTATCCGTAATTATTGGTCTTTCGCATGCGTCAATGTCGGTAAGCTCTCCGGCGGGAGGATTTCGTACTCTAACAAATAGGTCTTGAGTAACCGCTCTATACAGAGTACATAGCATATAGTACGGATACTCTACCCTGTAGATACGTTAGATACTCTGTAGTGTTTGCTGATAAAGTAATGTGATATAATTACATGTAATTTTACTTGTATTTCCACCTTAAGTAGCACTTTCCGGGTGTACTCCAAAGTAAATTTCAATACCAAAACGAGCTAACTATTTTGATACGGGACCTGTCACGGGACTTGCTGCCAGCAAAAATTGCCCTTCACCTCCGGTTTCCTTCCAAGTTCACATAACGTGGATGCTCTAATAACCCCCAAACCAACAGCAGAGTCACAATCCGAATCTGGCTGAAGTAAGTAAAATTTTCAATCTAATTTATATCCATTTTCCTTAACAGCTCGCTTTTATGTCGCCCCTCTTTGCAGCAGCATGCAACCATTCTGCTCATCTCAAATTCGCTTTCGAATGAATTCGCTAACAATTGCTCGTTTCTTTAGTTTAGTTAACGGGGCGATCTACCAATCTACCATCATTGATCTCGTTGTTTCTATTATTTTTGATTTGAAAGAGAGAGAGGAAAGAAAAATTCCACAATATAGCAGGTCACCGGAGACGCGCATCCACCATGGCAGCTTGCATCGTGTGTCCCAAAAGGCCTCTTCTGGCTCTGCCTTTCCTTCTACCTTCATGCGAACCAGTCGCTCTCGAATTGAGACGCAATCAATCCACGTACAGGCGCACAAAACAACGCCTACGCGTCAAGCCAGACGCTTCATTCGGTGCCTCCAATCAATCACGCGATCAAATTATCTACAACCCTCCACCGACCGCCCCGTCTGTCTACCAAACACCAACCAAGTTTCTCCCTCCGGATGATGCGCGGAGAGCACTACGTACCGATGCCTCTTCGGGCCCTGAAAATGTCGACAGCTTTGCCTCCATATATAAATCATCCCCCGAAAAGACGTATCACCTGAGCCAGTCGGATATAGAAGAGATCCGCAAACTCCGACTAAACGATCCGATGAATTGGAGCCGATGGAAATTGGCCAAGCGCTTTGGTTGTTCCCCGATGTTCATCGCCATGGTTTGCGAGGCAGCCCCAGAAAAGAAGGAGATGCAGAAACAAATCCTTGAAGCAATTCAATCGAGATGGGGGGCGAAACGTCGGATGGCTAGGGAAGACCGACAGCTGCGGAGAGAAACTTGGGGAAGGGATGAATGAGTTCAGCACGCAGGCTATATCTGTTTTCTCTATTTTACCTTGCACTCTCGCCGTGTATGTTTGGCCAAGGTCCTGTGGTTGTATAGAATCATGTACACTAGCGGCACTAGTTTCAACCGCATCATGTAATTGTTTTCAAACCTTCAGAAAAATCCTATTAGTTTGCAAAAGAGCATAAAGCGAAATGAGCAAGACCAACGAGACACTGGGAGGGGGGCCTGTCTCATCGGGGAACCCAAATAATATAAGTTGTCGCTTACATACGGTAAAACTAGGTTAGAGCCGACAGGCTATCCATAGTAAGTAAACCACCCAGGTACCTACCGTAGGTTAGTAGTATGTAATTACCTCAGACCAAACCAATCGAGGACTTTCGATTTTCATCCTGCAGCCCCAATGCCCCTCCCCCTCAGTCGCGTTGCAACCTCGCTTTTCAGACAATACAGACCACATCTGCCTTGCTCATCTGTCAACAGTACACCCTGGGCAACACAACTCACACACCCAAAGACTTCATTTTTTCGCCGCTCATTCTACGGACACGTCAGTGATCGAAAAATGGCACCACAGCTCGAGCCCTTCTTCCAGAAGTCAGTTTTGCTTTACCCCACCCTTTGGCGTCTGCAGACATGCGCTTCACCGTCAGTCAATGTACAATTGCTAATGTTTCTGTTTGTTATTTTAGGGTCGATGACCTCTCGGGCTCATTCATCGATCGTATGTTTAAAACTTGCTACGACATGACGTCCATGCCATCCACTGACATGGTAGTAAGGGCTGCGAAAGGCTGTTGCAATCCCGTCCATCTCGGCGCAGGATGAGAACAGACCGGATGTGTTCAAGGTATGAAAAACAAACCCATGTTGCAACTTGGACGAGTTACTAACGTCCGTTATTATCCTCGAAGATGGGCCAATTTCTCGCCTCGGAACTCGAAGCCCTTGGAGCGGAAGTGGAACAAAGGCCGCTAGGCAAGCAGCCTGGAAAGGAGCACCTTGATCTCCCTCCTGTCATTCTTGCTCGGTATGGTAATGATAAGAACAAGCGGACGATCTTGGTGTACGGTCATTATGACGTACAGCCTGCCTTGAAAGAAGACGGTTGGGCTACTGAGCCTTTCGACCTGACGGTCGACGCTCAAGGAAGAATGTTTGGCCGTGGAAGCACTGACGACAAAGGGCCTGTCTTGGGCTGGTTGAACGTGATCGAGGCCCACAAAAAGGCAGGTGTTGAGTTTCCTGTGAACCTCCTCTGCTGTTTTGAAGGCATGGAAGAATACGGCTCAGAGGGCCTCGAAGATTTGATCCAAGCCGAGGGCAAGAAATTCTTCAAGGATGCAGACGCTGTATGCATCTCTGATAATTATTGGCTTGGAACGGAAAAGCCCTGCTTGACGTATGGCTTGCGAGGTTGCAACTATTACTCAATCAGTGTCTCCGGTCCCGCCCAGGATTTACATAGCGGTGTATTCGGCGGCTCGGCCCATGAGCCAATGACGGATCTGGTCAACGTCCTTTCAAAGCTTGTTGACGTCCAGGGGAATATCATGATTCCTGGTCTCATGGATCTCGTCGCGCCTGTGACCGAGGAAGAGAAATCGCTGTACGGTGACATCAGCTACACCATGGATAACCTTCACGAGTCACTTGGCAGTGAGACTAGCATCCATCCGACAAAGGAACGAACTCTTATGGCCAGGTGGCGGTACCCATCGCTTTCAATCCACGGTGTTGAAGGCGCCTACTCCGCCCCGGGTGCTAAGACGGTCATTCCAGCGAAGGTTATTGGCAAGTTCTCCATCCGTACTGTTCCTAACATGGAGAGCGAACAAGTGAGCAAGCTCGTTTTCGACTACATCAAGGCAGAGTTTGCCAAGCTGAATAGCAAAAACACTATGGACGTGTGGCTTCAGCATGACGGCAAGTGGTGGGTTTCCAGCCCGAAGCACTGGAATTTCACGGCTGCAAGCAAGGCTGTAACCCAGGTTTTCGGAGTCGAGCCCGACATGACTAGAGAGGGTGGCAGGTATGTCTCAAAAACAACACATCCCCTTCAAATTGAAGAGCGCCTTAGTTGGATATCTTCTAATATTCAATGCAGTATCCCTGTTACTCTGAGCTTCGAACAGGCTACCGGAAAGAATGTCCTTCTTCTGCCCATGGGAAGCTCAACCGATGCCGCCCATTCTGTCAATGAGAAACTTGACAAGAGAAACTACATTGAAGGTACCAAATTGCTCGGCGCTTATTTGCACTATGTGTCCGAGGAGCCTATCAACGCTTAAGCAGCAACATATCGCGAATTTGTCTCGCATGTTGATTCATATATCCTTTATATCTTGAATGTTACTAGTAAATATCCGTGTGATTCAACAGAGATTCGAGCTATGTAGTACGGACGCATTTTGTACGTGCCGAACATAAACGTAGTAAAGCATACAAAAAGTTAACCGGTGGGGTGGAGGGGGGAACCTGTATCCCTCCTTCCATCCTAGTTATTTGATCTTCTTTCATTGACTTAGTATATTAGGGGTCCTACCATGATAGTCTTTGAAGTAGATCATGTTTACAGTGTAGTACTAGCTTTCTTGTTCTTTGTCGGGGCCTGTGGGCGCTGCTGGAACCCTGGGTCGGGCTCGCCGCAGCTGGGTCATTAATACCGTTTTAGGTTAGTCTTTCACGCGTGGGCCCCGGAGACACGAGACGCGGCGCAGTGCCTTTATTCCCCTCAATCAACAATGAATCACATTGGCACAGCGCCAAAAAGATTGACTGATGCAACTTTTCCCTCATGTCTTCTTAGAAACCTCTGACATGTGCAATGCGATCAAAATTCTGAAGCTATCTACGTGATGTCATCATCGCTGAAGCGTTCGCAGCAAGTGTCTTCGGAACCTGGTGATACCGATGAAGACGGTAGGGGTTCGGTCGCTAACTCCTCTCATTCTGTGAGCAGAAAACCCCCGTGGCAAGGAAAAAAGACGGTTTGAGTTGACTTGGACATCAAGCGAAAGCGACGCAGGTCAGGTTCCTGGAGCAGCGTGGACGACACCGAAACCAACAACGACGAATCCGAGCAGAGACCGCCCTCGATAGCCGAATCTCTCGACGAAAATGAAGACGCTCTGGAGTTAAGGGCGACGCAAGGGATCCAAGAGAAATACTCGTTTGCAAGCGATGAGCCAAACGTTCCCGCCGAGCATGGAATCCTTGAGCGCGTCGAGTGTTACAATTTCATGTGCCATGACCACTTCTGTGTCGAACTTGGGCCGTTGATCAACTTCATTGTGGGCAAGAATGGCAGCGGCAAGAGCGCGGTACTCACCGGAATAACTCTCTGTTTGGGTGGTAAGGCATCTGCCACCAATCGTGGACAAAGTCTTAAAAGCTTCATCAAGGAGGGCAGGGAGTAAGTATGGTAGTCTACCTTTGGGCCTGCAATCTCTGATATCGTCTTTCCAGGAGCGCAACCATTGTTGTCCGCATCAAGAATAGAGGAGAAGGGGCCTATTTGCCAGATGATTACGGGAATTCGATCATCATAGAGCGCAACTTCACAAAAAGCGGTACAAGTGGTTTCAAAATAAAGGCGGAGAATGGCCGCATTGTTTCAACCAAGAAGGCTGAGCTAGACTCTATCATCGATTTCTTTACATTACAATTCGACAACCCTATGAATGTCCTTTCACAGGACATGGCTCGACAATTCCTCAGCTCGTCAAGTCCTGCCGAAAAGTACAAATTCTTTGTGAAGGGAGTCCAGCTGGAACAACTAGACCAAGACTACCGGCTCATTGAAGAATCTGCCGACCAAATTTTAGAGAAACTCAGAAGCAGGGAGCAAGACATCAGTGTTTTAGAGCGACGCAGAGATGACGCCCGGCACAGACTGGACGTGTCTGATCAGCATGAGTCCTTGAGGGGCCGAGTTAGAGAGGTTCGCAATCAAATGGCTTGGGCTCAGGTCGAGGAGCAAGAGAGGGTAAGAGTTTTTTCTAGAAATTTCAACGTTTGTCCGTGTCTCTGATAAGAAAACAGGCAAGGGACGCCTTTGACCACGAACTTGCGAAAATCGACGCCAAAATTTCTGATGATGAAGCTGGAGTCGGACAGTTTGATGTCGAAATCCAAGATGCAGCAGAGGAAAATGAAACCGCGGCAGAATATGTTCGGCAAGCCACTTCAGCGGTCGAGCAGGCCGAAAGTGAAAAGGAAGAGATTAAAACAAAATGGAATGAGCAAATGAGTGGGCGTCATGATTTGCAGGTCTGCTTCCCAATACGCATATTTCACGGCTCGCACTGACCAACATCGTTAGGCCGAGCAACGTCAGATAAGAGACTACCTCAAGGCAGCGGAAACACGGCTCAGTGAAGCGCAAGAGAAAATTGACCAGGAAAACCAGCGGCTAGCTAATATCAGTGGTGGCAGTGTCACACAGAAGCAGGAAGAGCTTGAACAAGCCAAAGCAGAAATGCTTGAAGCCCGTACACGGTCAGAAGAGCATCAGCTTGATACAGATCGTCTGTCGCGTGAAGTAGCAGATGCTGAGGCAGGCGTCAAATCCGCTACTATTCCAGTCAATAAAGCTAAAGCCGACGTTGAGCAGGCGGAAGCCGTCCTTCGCAATCTGAACAAAGAAGGTGGAGCCCAAAGGTCGGGATATCATGAAAGGATGCCAGCCCTCCTCAGAGCGCTTCAACAAGAAAAATCATTTACGGTGCCGCCTGTGGGCCCCATTGGGAATCACATAACTCTGCTGAAACCTGAATGGTCATCGATCCTCGAGAATTCACTTGGAGGGACTTTGAACAGTTTCATTGTCACCTCCAAGAGAGACATGAATATTTTGACAAATGTCATGCAAAGGGTCAATTGGTTAGTTTCCATATCTCTTACCCTGTCATACGTGCTGTGTTCTAACCATTTGGAAGTGTGTGTCCCATCTTCATCGGAAGCAATGGTCACATTGATACATCGGAGCATGAACCTGATTCTCAGTTCAATACAACGTTGCGTGTCTTGCAGGTTAGTGCCCCCGTGTGTACCTAAGACGTAATCTAATTGGGATATTTTAGATCGACAATGATCTGGTCCGTCGACAACTTATCATCAATCATGGTATCGAGCAAATGCTACTTATTGAGAACTTGGAGGAAGCAACTTCGGTTCTCTTTGATGGACCGCGCCCGAGGAATGTGAAGCGGTGCTATTGCATTGATCAAACAGACCGAAGAAGAGGCATCCATCTGTCATACAGCCGGTCAGGTGAACCAAGCCAAGCACCTGTTTCTGTTTATACCGGAAGCCCACGGATGAAATCCGATCTGGCTGATCAAATCAAGTGATTCTTTTGGATTGTACCCCGACTGTCTGCCATTATACTGACAACCACTCTCAGAGTCCAACGTAATGTTGTTGCGGACCTTCGACGCATGGTTGGAAATCTAGAGCAGCAGCTCCGTTCCGCCCGGTCTCATCTAGAAACTTGCAAACAGCAAAAAGTGAGACATGACAGAGAATCGAGTTCACTGCGAGCCGCGATGCAGCGAAAAGAGGACCATGTCGACGCACTGACCGAAGCGTTCGACAAAGATAAGGTCGAGGACGGGCAAATGGATTTGCTGCGAACGACTCTCAAGGAAGCTGAAGAAGAAAAGCAGCTGAATGAAAATTCATTGAAAGATAGTGCTGACGCTATGGATGATATGATGAAGAAACTGAAAGCGGTAAAGCAGGAACTTGCCGCTAAAGATGCCAACATCGCTGCATTACAGGAAGAACTTCGTGTTGCTCAGAGTGAAGAACTAATGGTTACGGATAAGCGCCGAAAGATTTTCAGTCAGAAAAACCAGGCGATCGAACAACTTCGGAGCCTCAAGGAACACAAGGACAAGTTATCACGCGAGAAAGAGGAGACTTCTGCGCGTATTGTCGAGTTTATCGAGAAGGCCAGTTTGGTTTCACCAAGGGTCACAATCGATGAGGGCGAAACCGCTGCCAGTCTAGACAAGAAGCTCGAGCGGCTCCATAAAGATATCGAACGTTGCAATCAGCAGTAAGTAAGAACGCAACTGTCTCCGATCTCTTGCTGATCCTTTCTCTTTTTTCTTCTTTTTCAGATTGGGGGCATCGCGAGAGGCAATTGCTGCCGATGCCAGAGAAGCGGCCACTGCTTACGAACGTGCATTGAAACAAGTAGAGGAATTCAGGTTGCTTGCTGATGTACGTTTCTAATATCCTTCTTGCCTCCGTTCGCATCTCTTCGGTTATGCTTGGTCTTCTGTGCTAAATTTCAATGCGCACAGGTCCTCAAGGCCACTCTCGAACATCGGCAAAAACGCTGGAAAATCTTTAGATCGCACATTTCATCTCGTGCGAAGGCTCAGTTTACGTACCTTTTGAGCGAAAGAAGCTTCCGAGGTCGTCTTCTAACTGACCATGAGGGTAAACTTCTTGACCTTCAGGTATGTAATCTTGTAAACCCGTTCTATATCTCCACAGCCTAACAGTCCTGTAGGTGGAGCCTGATATAACGAAAGACAATAGTACCGGGCGTGGCGCAAGAACGCTATCCGGCGGCGAAAAGTCATTCTCACAAGTTTGCCTTCTATTGGCCCTTTGGGAAGCCATGGGTTCTCCAATACGCTGCTTAGACGAGTTGTATGTGGATGAGGCCCTTTGTCAAATAGACAATGACTAACATCAAATCTACAGTGACGTCTACATGGATCACATTAACAGAAAAATGGCCATCGATATGCTTGTGAGACCCCTCTGTCTTAACCTCGATCCGTGATGTAATCGCTAATTCAAGATAGATGCTCGCCGCCCGGCGCTCAATTGGACGGCAATTTATACTCATCACACCAGGATCGAGAAGTGAGATCAGTTTAGCCCCTGATGTTCGAGTGAAGGAGTAAGTCCCAGATGAGCGCATATGGCGAACGACCTAACTAACGTCCCCCCTTTAGATTGGCAGAACCAGAACGAGGACAGACAAGGTTGGCTTTTTAGACATTTGTTCATTGGGCATTGTCGTTGCGCGAAGCCTTTTTAGGGTGAGCAAACTGCTTTTGTAATTTAGCGTGCCACTTTGATGAGCGAAACACCTACTCTGGAAGTCATGTTTGGAACTCGCATAGGAACAAGCCAGCAAAAGGAACCAGATCCGATACAATAGAATCAAAAAATGGTAAAGCAGACCCAATGGGAGATATGTGAAGAGAGAAATCCGTATATTTGAATGATAATATCATCAGAATCACAAGCAGTCTATACAAGAAGTCTGGTATCTACACGTACTTCCAAGTACTGTACAGCCGGTAGGACTCGCTGCGGCAAGGGCGAGGGCGAACCCTGTGGCCCCGGCGACTCCGGCGGGCACTATACACATTACACCTGTACCTGGCCTAGTCATAATGACTAATGGGGGGACTGGAGATGGTATGATGGAAGATCTGTCTGTTGTGTTCCAAGTCTCTTCTTCTACACCCTCTCTCAAACGAAACCCCCAATTTCTTGATAATAACCTTGCACTGTTGCACTCCATTGTGAGATAAGCCACACTAGTTTGATTTTCTTTTTCTTTGCCTGTTCGTCTAAACCACTGGCTACTCTCCACTACCTTCCCCCGCAGTGAGAAATTTGCTTGCAAAAAACCCTCTGAAGATTACTCTGGTCTCAAACTTCCTCGATAACTTTCTTCTCCTCTCAAAACCTGGAACATACTTCTTTACCTCACTGAAAACAGTTGACACTTATTGTCAATCAACAGCTTGCACCTAAGAGCAAGACAACCCCAACTTATCTCTCCTTCGCCCTGTCTATTCTCGTCTTCTGGTGTGAAAGAAGGAATCTCCGCCCACACCGCCTGGGTCCACTTCCAAATACCAAACTTGGATTTCAATCTTGGGCTTTTCAAGATCGCCAGCCGCTACCACAGCCGATTGCCTGTGTCGAAACACCAAACCTACTATCTCCTTCTATACTCGAGCCTTTTTTTACTTGCCCAACCACCTGGACTCGACACTTTGTGCACATCAATACTCCCTTGCACAATCGATAATTATCTCCAAAATCCACCGCATTCGGTCGAGGGCGGGACGTGAAGATAATACAACCACTGGTCCCCGTTATTTGAAATAGTTGATCACCATGGCCGACGCTCTTGCCTCGCAGCTCAACAACACTAGTTTGGGGTATGTTGGCCTTTGGTGCTCCATTGGCATTGTACGCTTTCAAAGTACTCACGGTTTCTTTTGTTAGGGGAGCAAATACGGATGCAAAATGGAAAGAACAAATCAATGCACCTATTAAGGATGGAAGGCCACAAACGGAGGTTTGTCTTCGGCTACCTTCGCTTATTGTTCCCCGAGGTCTAATCTGAATCTAGGACGTAACAGCTACGAAAGGTCTTGAATTTGAGGATTTCTACATCAAACGTGAGCTTATGATGGGTATCTTCGAGGCTGGGTTCGAAAAGCCATCCCCTATCCAAGAAGAAACGATACCAGTTGCCCTTACCGGCAGAGACATCTTGGCTCGAGCAAAGAACGGCACCGGCAAAACAGCTGCCTTCGTCATCCCTACTTTGGAGCGCATCAATCCCAAGAGCACAAAAACTCAGGCTCTTATCCTTGTTCCTACGAGAGAGCTTGCACTTCAGACATCTCACGTCTGCAAGACACTCGGTAAACATCTGGGAATCAACGTGATGGTTACCACCGGTGGGACTGGGTTGATGGATGATATCATCAGACTGAACGATGCGGTCCACATTCTCGTCGGAACTCCTGGCAGAGTCCTTGATCTAGCGAGCAAGGGCGTAGCAGAGCTTACCGAGTGCCCTACTTTCGTCATGGATGAGGCTGACAAGCTACTGTCTCCCGAATTCACCCCGGTCATTGAACAGTTGTTGTCATTCCACCCCAAGGACCGCCAGGTGATGCTTTTTAGTGCGACATTCCCAATGATCGTCAAGTCTTTCAAGGTACAATCGTCATATCTGCGTTTGGTCATCTGTCCAGAATGTGTGGCTAACATCATCTACAGGATCGGCACATGCGTAATCCTTATGAAATCAACCTTATGGATGAACTCACACTCCGCGGCATAACTCAGTACTACGCTTTTGTGGAAGAGAAGCAAAAAGTTCACTGCCTGAACACTCTCTTCTCCAAGCTTCAAATCAACCAGTCGATTATCTTCTGCAACTCTACAAACCGCGTGGAATTACTTGCGAAGAAGATTACGGAATTGGGCTATTCATGCTTCTATTCACACGCCAGAATGCTCCAGCAACATCGTAACCGGGTTTTCCACGATTTCCGGAACGGCGTATGCCGTAATCTGGTCTGTTCGGATCTTCTTACTCGGGGTATCGACATCCAAGCCGTGAACGTTGTCATCAACTTCGATTTCCCGAAAAATGCCGAGACCTATCTTCATCGAATTGGCCGATCAGGTCGTTTCGGGCACCTTGGTCTTGCAATCAATCTGATCAACTGGGAAGACCGCTTCAACTTGTACAAGATCGAACAGGAGTTGGGAACAGAAATCCAGCCTATCCCCCAGAATATCGATAAGAAGCTCTACGTCTACGAGTCTCCGGATACCATCCCGCGTCCAATTTCCAACCCCGCCCTAACACAGCAAACCAACACCAGCGCAGGCCCCGGAGAACGCCGCAACCATCATCCAGGTGGTGGAAACCAGCAATTCAATCGCGGGCGGGGCTCGTACCGAGGCCGGGGACAGGGTCAGGGTCAACGTCGCGGCGCTCACGGTCAAGGAGACAGATTTGGTCCTTCCCAGGGTCAGCAAGGCGCCAACTCCCAAGCTGCACAAGCATTATAATTCTTTGATCAATATATCCGGCTTGTTATCGGTGTCTCTTGCCCTGCAGCTTTTGGTCATCCTCGATTTCTCTTGTGCATGTGTTTATGACGATGGTGCCCCTCCCTCTTCCGCCTTCCGCCTTCCGCCTTCCTATCTTTTCAATAAAAACTTCCACAAATTCGCTATCTCTACGTTCCATGGAGCTGATTATGCGCCTCGCTTGCTCTTCTTTCGCGCCGTGTTCAGTTATTTCGGTAACACGATGTCTTGACAGTGTTTCGGCATCGGTGTCTCATCTCAATTTCATTTTAGGGGCTGGCTTGTGACTTCTGATTGATGATGCCCTTGCTAGTACCTCCATTAGCGTTCAAATAACGTCCTCGACCCCAGTTTCTGCGTTATGCATGCTCGTCTTTCCTCCTTATCTCGACAATCCACCTTCTTGTACATACGATTACCTACGACTACATCCTTCGGTTTTTACTTACGGATAATGGCGTTTTCGAGCATCGGAGTCAGTGGTGCAGCTCTTTGTTATAATGTTTGTGGACTGCCACGAGCCGACTTGTTCATCAGGGAGCAGATAACGTTCTCTTTTGCTTCTTGACAACCCTATATTCCCGTGGGTGGAGTTGGGAATTCGATATCATCCAGATCGCTCGGACAGTCAGAGTTCATCCTTCTCTGGACTGTATTTTTTTTTATTATTATTCTGCTCGTTATTTTTCCTCTCCTTTGGTTCGATGCGTCATTTGTTCCACTTCAGCCCTCAAAAGTTGGGCTCACAGTGCATCAAATGCTTGAAGATGTTGCGCAAGACCATCTCCTCTGGTTGATTGTGTCACGGTCTGAATCGTTGTCCGTATACGAGTCTGCATGGTCAAACCACCCCATGGCGACCTGAACTTTGTTTCCATGTTTTCTCTATCTCTGTCTCTGGTCCTGCCTCTGTCCATATGTGGTTTGCGTCGATGTCAGAATGGGTGTCCTCGGGGGTTTCATTTTCTCGGCAGTGGACAGCGGGCAACAAGTACGAGAACCAAGATCCCAAACCACCTGGGAAGGGAACGAAAGGGAAATCAGAGGAACGAAGTTAAAATGACGAAAAGAAAAGGGAAAAGAAGGAGAGGGGGGGGAGGAGGCAAGGAGACAGGAGAGAGTAAGAAAACAAGAAAAATATGAACAAAAAAAGAGGGGGGGTGAGAAGAAAATACATTCAAGAAAACAGAAGAAGAATTGGGGGGTATGGAATCGCATGAAGCCTCGAGGTGACGGTCTTCGAGATTGGGGAAGCAGGACTAGAGAAAATGTGAGAAATGCGAGGGGATATAAGAGATGGCTACATCCAGCAACAATAGTGGTATTGTTAGCATCTTCAAATTGACAATGAATTATCCCCTCCACAGGAAACCGCGCAGCTGTCTGTGCCGGATGCCAGGGCTGTCAGTCAATTGTACTGACATGCCTTGTAATATCCTCCTCTCCTTCTGTAAACTACGATTTCTCTTCCTGGTTGAAAACGGTCTCCAACGTCGTTGCCCAGACAGTTTATCAACTGAACCCTCCATACAACATACAATATCACATTGGCAATTACACAGATCACCACATACCTACAGACAACAGACACTACGTGAGGCAATAAAGTCATCCTGTTTCACTCGCCAAGGGCACGCCGATTCTCTAGCAGGCGTGCTTGATAGATGATGACTAGAAGCGAGTATGTGAAAAAAAAAAAAAAAAAAAAATTGATTGAAGACGGCACTTCCCACCGAAGACACCCCTATTTCATAATATGCCAATCTCTAAACAGCAACCAGGTCAATCAACAACCCGAACTGCTATCAAGACCATCGAGTATCTAGTTGCCGATAAAAGTCGGTGGGTCCGGGGTATGTCGAGCCGATTTAAGTCGGGGTCTCCCGGAATCCCTCTAATCCTTCAGACCTCGGAGCCAGAGCCACCGACCCGACCCGGTTAGCTGCAATTGCGCTATCGGACCTCTCTGGTCTTAAACTTCGACCCAGCGGAACGACTGCCTGCAATATAGAGAACAACTGCCCTTTTTTTGGCCAATTGGGATTTATTACACAATGGCGACCACAGAAAAGAATCAGACGCAAAAAGTAAAGGACTCTCAATCCTCCGATGGATGTCCACTAACTAATTGATAGCCTAGCAGTTTGCGCTCCATCCTCGCGGGCTCTTCTGCAGGAGCTGTGGAAATCGGTAACGACTCGTTCCTACCAACTGGCATCTTTTCTGAGTCGCACGGGATTGCTAACAATCAAAATAGCGATCACATACCCCGCTGAGTGTAAGTCTTGACTGAATTCGAACCCGACGAAGCTAATCAAGCAACCAGTTGCCAAAACTCGCACGCAACTAAACCGGAGGTTGCCAGATGGCAAGAAGCTACCATGGCCCCCATTCGGAAGCCAATGGTATGCGGGGTGTACTACACTGATTATTGGAAACTCCGCGAAGGCAGGTATTCGTAAGTCACCTATTAACCAGCCAATGTATACACTATGGGCAGATCCCCGCTTATCGTCGTTTGAATCTAGGTTTTGTCGCCTTTGACTTCCTCAAGTCCCTCCTCCAAGACGAAAATGGCAAGATTTCGGGCCCGAAGACTGTGGTTGCGGGCTTTGGAGCTGGTTTTACAGAGTCTCTTTTGGCAGTCACGCCATTCGAAAGCATTAAAACGCAAATGTTCGTCAATACCGGCTGAGACCACAAGTACCGCCCATTCGGACTTGATGCTAACGGAGAACGCGCGCAGTATTGACGACCGGAAGTCGGCTAAGCCTCGCATGCGCGGGTTTTTACACGGTAGCAAGCTCATATTCCAGGAGCGAGGTGTGAAAGGATTCTTCCAAGGGTTTGTTCCTACGACTGCAAGGCAAGCCGCCAATTCGGCAACGCGGTTCTCGAGCTACACCATGTTGAGGCAGATGGCCGAGGGCTATGTCGCGCCTGGCGAGAAGCTAGGAACAATGAGCACTTTCGCCCTGGGCGGAATGGCTGGTCTTATCACGGTGTAAGATGATATTCCTAGCCGGAGACTGCAACCCGCCAGGAAACAGGAGACGCTGACATCTATCTCCCATAGTTACGTCACACAACCGCTTGATACGGTCAAGACTAGGTGAGTTCCCGAAATAAAACTGATAAGCACGGCGATAGCAGCTAACACGATAACAGGATGCAATCTCTCGAAGCCAGTAAATTCTATCGAAACAGCTTCGTCTGTGCAACCAAGATTCTCAAGGATGAAGGGTTCACGACTTTATGGTCCGGCGCTGTTCCTCGTCTTGCACGGCTCATCTTGAGCGGGGGCATCGTATTCACCATGTTCGTCTTGCCAAAGCCTACCTTACCTCTGAAGAACCGTACACTGACTGACTGTTAACAGGTACGAAAAATCTATGGAGCTGCTCGATACCTTAGACCCTGAGAAACGATACATCTAATGTTCTGGATGGTGTGCCAAACATGCCACTGGGTTCGAGGCAAGGTGTAATTAATGTGTCTACCATTCGGATAGAATTCAATCACCAAATATGTGCACATCTATCCATCCGCAAACTAGTCGGACGCGCAAAGGAAATGTCGCTTCCCCAGATAAGAACACCATCCTCACCCATTGTAGGTCAGTCGGTAAGCAAGATGCGTTACGCGTCTATATAGCAGTCTGGTGTGCCAGGCGAGTCTAAGCGGAGTATTTCATAGACCTGGCCGTCAGTCTTGCCGAAGAAGCTAACGTGCCCGTATCTAAGCCCCTCAGGCCTCTTGCACATGTGCAGTACTTGCCCTTCTCATAAGGCTTTCGATACCGTAGGATTCTTGACCTTCTAAGCATGCATAGCCCTGAGAAGAGAGGAGATATCGAGCAGTGCTTATGGTTTACATATTTGGGGTGTATTGGCTAAACTTACGGTTGTATTTTTGGGGGGCGTTTCCTGTATTATAGAAACCGCAATGGGTGGCCGAACTGTGTTGACATTGGCTGCGCAGGCGGGGATTTATCGGTCGACAAACAACTCCTCCGTATTGCATTGTAGATTCCACATCGCGATTTGTTGTAGATGTATATAGTACTGAATACCAACGTATCAAGAGCAGCAAATCTCCATGCAATATGGGCGATGGACTGCTGTACGATGCGGAAGACACCGGCGTAATTAACTATGTATTTTAGTCATCTGGTATGAAAAGGACAGGTAATCCTGTACACGACAGTAAGACAGTACACGTATGACGGCGTAAAGGCCAGACTGGATAGTTCCGCCAGCCGCTAGGACTTCTTTATCTATCTTCACTACTTGATGCTGTTGTGGCTGCCATTTGACCATGTAACTTGATCTATGGCCTCTTAATGGTCTCGTCGCTGCCACTGCAATTCTGATTTATGAGCTTGAAACCTCCATCAATCTTTTCTGGTATTACTTCCAGGTGGTTATATCAATACTATGCTCTCTCTGCGCTGAACTTGTCCCCTTCGAAACCAGTACACCAAATCTCATATTCAAAATGCATATCTCGCTGGGATCCCTCGTCGTTGTCCTCGGGTGTCTATCAACTGCGCACGGCCTGCAGGCATCCTCGATACCCGCCGACACCCCGCTTGCGTCCTTGATCGCTTCCGCAAAGACACACCTTGCAGGCGGCTCCCCCAGCGACGCCCTTCTATATTTCGACGCCGCCGTCTCAAGAGATCCCAAGAACTACTTGACCGTCTTCCAACGAGCCGCCGCCTACCTCTCCCTCGGAAAGAACACACAGGCTCTTAGCGATTTCGATCGGGTCTTACAGCTGAAGCCAGATTTCGAAAGCGCCCTGGTTCAACGAGCTCGCCTCAGGGCCAACTCCGCAAACTGGGAAGGCGCTTTGAGTGATCTTGAAAATGCCGGCAAAAAGTCATCGGATGAATCAAGGGAAATCCAGGAGGCACGAGATGCGATGGTCTCCGCCCTTAACGCCGAGAAACAGGGCGCCTGGGAAACCTGCGTCAGTCAAGCAAATGTGGCCATCATGAGAGCAAACTCGTATCTCCCCTTGCGACAAGCTCGGGCACATTGCCATTTAGAGAGGGGTGAGATTGAAGAAGGGCTCAGTGATCTTGTTCGTGCGCTACATATCTCCCCTGGTTTGGTAGAACCCCATCTACAGATATCGTCGACTCTGTTCTATGCCATTGGGGACAACGACCGTGGTCTCGCGCAGATTCGCAAGTGCTTGCACTCGGACCCTGATTCGAAACCGTGCAATAAACTCTATCGGAGAGAGAAGCAGCTAGCCAAGCGGATACAGCGACTGGGAGACTTTGTGGAATCCCGGAAATTCAATAATGTCATCAATCTGATAGTCGGGGCGGGCGGAGAAAGTGGGCTTCTCGAGGATGTCAAAGAGGATGTCGCAGAAGCAAGGACAGCCGGGCATATTCATCCCATGGCCCCTAACAATCTATATGCCTCCTTGGTCGAACGGACTTGCGAGGCTTACCGCGAGGTTCGTAACCCCCTTCCTTGCAATGGGCAAAGTTTATTGGATGAGACTAACCTCCTATGAAGACACACATGTTGAAGAAGGCTTCTGGGTATTGTTCTGAGGCCCTTGAGTTAAACCCCCATTCCCTGCCAGCGCTATTATACAAAGGACAGGTGGCTATTGATGAGGATCGCTTTGATGAGGCCATGAACATACTCAATCAGGCGCGGGAACACCATCCAAGCTGCAAGGAATGCCAGACACTTTTACAAAAAGCACATACTCTCCAGAGGCGTTCAAAGCAAAAGGACTACTACAAGGTCTTGGGTGTCAGCCGCGACGCTGATGACCGAACAATCAAGAAGGCCTATCGGCAGTTGACAAAACAGCATCACCCCGACAAGACGACCTCCCAGGGTGTCCCGAAGGAGGAAGCCGAGAAAAAAATGGCTTCTATCAACGAAGCTTACGAAGTCCTGTCGAGTGCGGAACTCAGGGAGCGTTACGACAACGGCGACGATCCAAACGATCCGGAGTCTCAACGGGGAAATCCGTTCCAAGGGAGTCCGTTTGGTGGCGGGGGTGGTCAACAATTCTTTTATCAGCAGGGTGGCCCCCAGTTCAAGTATTCTGGTCAGGGATTCAACTTCCGGGGTGGTTTTCCTTTCCGATGACACTCCTGATGCGGGTCGGACTGGTGTCTTTGTGACTTTGTTTCTTTTGCCATATTACTTTTGGCGTTCATGTTGGCTAGTTACCTGTTTGCACCACTTAATTGTTGGCATGTTTACTATATGGCATTGCAGTCTTAGTTCATTCAAGTAGCGGAAAACTAACTCCATGGCCTATCTCCTCGGTGGATCCGTCAGAGGCACGTAACTAACTTGCAGTACCTTCTCCTTATGCACCGAGCCATCCTCCTTCTTGTCCACTACCCAGATATACTGCCCACCACCAAAACCAAGACTCCCTCGCCGTCCGCCTTCACCGGCAGACGCAACGGGGATAAACATCCGCCCCGGAGCCCGAAGTTGTTCCATCAACACAGGATGGAGCTCTTCTGCCGCCGCGCCAACATGGATGGCATCATACGGCGCTCCATCTTTCCACCCCAAGCGACCATCCGCAGTGACAAATTTCACCTTGCCGCTGTCTAGTAAGCTGCGGCCCTGCTCCGACTTGCGCATATTGTGATTTGCCAGATCAACGAGCTCCTGGATATGATCTACTCCGATCACACACCCGCCATTGGCGTCCTCCGGACCGGTGGCAAGGTTAGCGAGGACGTGGGTCAGGTAGCCAGATCCGGATCCAATGTCCAGCACCCGAGAGCCAGGCTTTATGAAATCAATGAGGTATTCGCACGCGTGTCCGTGCATGTGCGGAGCAGATATCGTCGCACTGTGTCCGATCGACTGCGGGGAGTCCGAGTATGGCCTTGAAGGGGCATAGTGGCCCCTGTCAACCTGGAATCACAGGATCAGAATATCATACGTACACCCATTCGTGGAAGATGCTCGCCGGGAATTGTGCTGCCAGCCTGTGCTGCTGGCATTTGAGGACCATCGTCTGGGCTGTAGGACCCTCACCTTGAGCATGGCGTCTTTCACCTGTTCATTCTTGATCAACCCGGTCCTATACAGGTTGTCGATCATCTCCGAGTTGCTGGACCCTGAACAGTACCACGCCATCGTGTGGTTTGTTCTTTTTGTGCTGTACGATCTTGTGGCACGGTGGATGGCTTTCTTGAGCATGTAGCAGTCGCAATTTCCGGCGGCCTGTGAGTGGGGATTGGTGAAGTAGTGCGAGGTCTGCTTTAAGCAAAAAGTGTTTGAAGATGCCGTAGCTATACAAACATGATGTTCATCAGCCGTGGACTGAGATTCTGCTCCAGAGTTGTGGGCTTAATGGCCGCCAGCGCTTGTGACGTCAACCCGATATCAGGTGTCACATGTTCCATTGATACAACCCCTCATTACCTATACAACCTCTCATGGCTTATACAGAGCCATGGTCTTGCCCCTCAGGGTTAGCATGGTGGTTGGTGCGTACTTAGTCATCTACGGGTCACCGTGGGTTTCCTAAACTCTCTGTGATGTTTGGGTGTAGGGCGTCTTTCTAGGTGTCATGTTTCCTTTTGTATGAGTTGTTTGTAGTGTATCTGTCTATATATATATTCTTATATCAAAGATGTGAATTTTCAAAACTAGAGACCAAAGCTGCACTGTGTTGATTGAAAGGGTTAGCTGCCTACTTTACTGAACCTCGAGAGAGATATATATCTGGTGTACATGCATGTACGGAGCGGATGGTTGTACCACCACCATACCCCAAAGCATGGACAATATCAAACAACCCAATAATATCGATAATTTCGAGTACCGTATCTGCCCAAAGTCGTAGGGGATTTATAGACATCCAGATAAATGGTGGTAGCACTTCTACAGCTATAGCAAGACGGAGCTATACAATACACCATGTCCGTCCGTAGAACAAGTATAATTTGCGAACTTCACACAAGCCAACTGCCAAGTCTAATAACCCACCAGCAAACACAGCTCGTGAATGATACTCCACCTACGAATCATCATCATAATAGGATTTTCGGCAAGTGATATTTGCGTAAATCGGCCAAGTCTAAAAAGTAGTCGTTGAATTAGCTGCATAGAACCACAGGCAGAGTGGAACAGACTGCGGGTGACCTAACCTGGAAACGGTAGATCAATCGGTGGTCGCGAACAAACACCAGTGCCCACCAAAAAAAAGGTACACACTACACACAGAGCAACAATCGCCATTAAACACACCTAGAACCGACAAATCCCAACCAACCTCAATAGGCCGCTACGGCATGCAGTAGCAGAAGAGATCTACGACCCTCGGCCCCAATGGCTGCGGTTCATCAATCAACCTCCTTCGTACAGTATGCAACCTGCAACAGCCGATCCAGATACCCAACACGATGTCCATGTCATGTTATTGGACTATCTCCTGTGCATCAACATATCTAGAATCCTCCACTCCAAGAAAGTAGAGAACGAAGAACTGGACTGTGATTGGGATCTCAATATCGGGTGGCTGGTCGATACGATTGAGAGTATGTTTCGGAACTGAGGCAATCCCCACGACATTCCTACCCTCTTCCTTAAAAGTTCATTTGACAATTGAGCATCGCTGACCAACCCATATCCTCAGCTTCGTCTTCCGAAGAAATTACCAATGACCTACGAATCAAGATCCAGCTCTTGAATGTCATCACTGCATTCTACCGCTACACAGGGCCGGATCAAAACATCGTCTCCGATGCTCAACTGCCGCCTTTACACAGTGGGAACCCCGCAACATTGGAGACCCAAAGCCGCTGGCAATACTCATACCCTCTCACAGCAGAGTTCCAATCAATAACAGCAACGGGCGCCTCGCGTGCTGTCACAAAGGCCGCGGCAGAATTCGAGACCCTATGCAACGTCGCGCACGCCATAGTGTCGGAATCAAGAAAAGCGGAGATAACAGCCCAATTCATCGCACAAGCCGCACTCGAGGAGTACCAACTGTCCGGGGGAGTGGATCCGAGCAAATACCTTACCTGGGCTTCTGAGGCGCTAGGCCAGACACCCGATTTGCGACAGTCGACTGTCAAGTTTGTGGCTTCCCTAGTAGACAAAGCCTCATGTACGGACCACCAGGAGGGCCTACTCACGGAGAATGGCGCCCGCCAATTTGAGGCCTATCTGTTGGAGTTTGTGTCAGATTTGATGCAGGTTTTGGAACCGCCAATCCTCATACAGCTCGAAAGAGGGGCACTATCTGGAATGAGCCGCGAAGAGACACAATTGTTGAAACATAAGGTAGGAATGCGATAAGAACACAGTTTTATATGCATACATAAAGTTTATATACTATGTATGAGAACAGAATTGTGACGACGAACTTGCAATTTCACCAGCAACAACTCCCCCAACCCCCATCTGAACAATGCCCCCTGTGACACAGTGACATGGCTCTGGAGTTTGAACTTCTTTACACAATATTAATCTACAAAATTGATCGGGAATCCCTTCTGTAGACAAAAGAAACCTGAGTTCCAATATGCCTAGCATGATGGGACGAACAGGCCCAATCTAGATGAGCAACATGCGACGCGGATCCTCGATGTACTCCTTGATCTGTAGGGCATTCGTGGTAAGCAGTGGCATCAAATGGTTGGAACGTAGTGCAGTGGGTGTAACTAACCTTAACAAGGAAGGTAACTGCCTCTCGGCCATCCAAAAGTCGGTGATCATAAGTCAGGGCAAGATACATCATCTAACAGAGTATTAGTGCAACCCTCGAAGAGAGAATATGGGAAAATAAATATACAGGGCGAATCTCGATCTTGCCATTCACGACCACTGCCTTGTCCTTGATGGCGTGGAGCCCAAGAACAGCTGCACACAGTCAGATTAGATGCTTTCAGCAAAGGGAGAAGAAGTGATCATACCAGTCTGCGGCAGGTTGATGATGGGGGTACCCATCAAAGAGCCGAAAACACCACCCTGAAACGATGTTAGCATATAAGTACTTCTCAGGGGGTAAGAACGTATGCTCACATTGCTGATAGTGAAAGAGCCACCAGCCATGTCCTCAATAGTTAATTTGTTGTCGCGAGCCTAGAACAAGTCATACAGTTAGACGTGATTTCCGAGAAATCTTGGGTTTTTTTGAGGGTGTTGCTGGGACGGCGAAGGAGTTCGCTGCGACTCGGCTTACCTTCTTTCCAAGTTCCGCAATGGCTTGCTCAATCCCAACCAGGTTCATTGTTTCCGCGTTGCGCACCACAGGCGTAACGAGGCCCTTTTCAGTAGCCACAGCCACGCTGATATCAACATAATCACGGTAGACAATAGTGTCACCACCGTTGGGACCTTCAATCGAGGCATTGACCGCAGGGACATCCTTCATGGCCAACACGCAGGCCCTGGAAAACGCGCTCATGAATCCGAGCTTGACACCCGTCTTCTTCAGCACGTCATCCTTGTACAGTTTCCGGAATTCCATCAAAGACGACATATCAACCTCGTTGAATGTGGTCAGGGAGGCGGCGGTATTTTGGGACTGCTTCAAGCGCTCGGCGATTCTCAACCTCATTCGGTTCATTTTCACCTATGACATGGAAAGACGCAAATCAGCTTTGTTCCAAAAAAAAAAAAAAAGGTGAAGAGCATGTGGAAGAGGCGGAGGAACAAACCCTTCTCTCCTCACGGCCGCCGATGCTGGGCTTAGATTCCTCGGAAGTTTGCTGCTTAGAGGCCGGGGGTTGCTGCTTGGGGGCTGAAGGTTGTTTGGGAGCCTCGGTCTCTGGCTTCGAAGGCTTTGCCTGCTCGGGTTTCTTGGTCTCTTCCGGAGCTGGAGACTTTGGCTTGTCTGCGGCCGCAGGCTCCTTGGGCTTTTCAGCGGACTCCTCCTTGGGTTCGGGGGCGCCGCCAAGTTCTAATTTGACAAGCTCCTGTCCAACCGTCACCGTGTCCTCTTCATTCGCAAGGAACTCTTTAATGGTACCGGATTCGGGAGCATTGACAGACACGTCGATCTGAAACACGTGAGCTCCATGTCCGAAAGAGTATTAGGATAGTGACAAGCTCAGAGCTCTTGTTAATACCTTGTCGGTCTCGATAGTAGCAATTTCCTCATCCCGCTCGACAAAATCCCCAACCTCTGGCTGCGTTGTCAGCTAGATTCCATTGACGAAGGGCATGTTGGATCATTACGTTTAGAAAACTGTTTCAAAGTGCCCTCAGTAATTGATTCCGCCATCTGCGGGACCTTCACCACAGAGTCCGCTGTCGTTCTCAAGTCAGCCCCATTCTTCGTAAGGAACAAGGCGGGTTGCTATACCATAAGTGCGAATTTGGAATCTCCCAACCGGGGACAAGGCGGTACGAGATACGTTGGAACTAAGACGTCGTAAGTACATGGCGAAAAGAACGCAGTCAATCCCAAGAATTCCACCAGTTCTTACGGCAAAACTTACACGCTCGTTAGACCAGACGAAGACCAAGCAACACCCTTAGAGTGATTCCGAAGCGTCAACGACGAGAAACCCCTGCGACTTCCTAGCCATCGGTTACAGGAGACATAGTTAATGCGAGGGGCTGATTTGAGGCTATGTTGGGAGAAACGGTGGAATGGCAACCGGGAAGCCATGGTGATAAGCCCAAGCAGGGAGTATGCGAATCCGGGAGGTTCGCGATTTAAAAGACAATAGTATAGAATAAATAGATTGAGAGAAAAGCAGCAGTTATTTGGACAATAATGCTACCTTCTGGCGAAAATCTTGAACTAAATTCCTCAAGGCTGATTTGCGGTTGAGAACGCCTGCAGATACAACGAGGGAGGATGGAGTGACGAAAGTTTTAGCAGAGTACGACTAGGAGCTTGAGCCCGGGCCGGACAACCGGGATTTCCTTAGGGAGGCCTGCACTTTGGCTGCGCCCGGCAACTGACGGAATATTATTCAACAGACGGACGGAATATTGTTCTTACACTAGTTCGGCTCCCGGGGAAGACCAACTTGGTACTTCTGGAGTTTCAACACCCGCGTCTGTACGGAACCGCAACTCGCGCATAGCGAGTCCGACCCACGAAAACACCACCCCGACCGGAAAGCTCCAATATCAGGACCAACTATTCTCGAATTAGCTTACGAACTGTGGCATTGCTATAACCTCGAGGGAGTTCTCCAATTGCCCACGATGTCCGCCAACGTTGCCACGTAAGTTGGCCGTCCAATAACGAACAAGCTATTGGAGACGTTCTAAGCATATATCCAGGTCACTCTACCGGCGCTCTCTGAAGCTGTCGCTTGATTGGGCTGTCCACAGAAGTATCTGGCGTGGTCAGGCAGTGTACATCAGATCGCTTTTCGATGCTAACAAGCACGTTCGCGATCCTCGCCAGCAAAAGGTTCGCAAACCTCTGTATCATCTTGAGATCTGCCGCAATCTCCCTGGCAGCTTGCTGATGCGGATTACTACAGGTGCTACTGCGCGAAACAGAGAAGCTACTCGAAACATGGAAGCATCCCGACCCCTATAAAGCACCAACTGCGCCGGGAGGTATGTGACATCAGAACGGCCAACTCCATCCTAATCCAAATCTTTTACTGACTACAAACTAGGTAACAAATACGAGAGAAACCTTCCTGCACCTCAATTACCCTGTATGTCGCTTCGCATGTCTGTGACAAAGTCCCCCCACCAAACTAATATAAAACAGATGCGGGGGCGCACTCCGAGGGCCACTGAACTATGGGGGATTTGCGACCCGGTGCGACTATATCGATCTTGTTATTCAAAGTTGCTTAATAGTAAGCCGAACTCTCGAAAAGAGAGGGGTGGGAAAAGTCCAAAGTTAGACCAAATGGGAGCATTTACAAATTTCATTGTAGACCTTGTGTGCATATTGGCTTCAATTGAAAACTGCCGGTATCAATCCATGTCCGTGGACATAATGTACAACCATAAAAAAAAAAAAATTGAAAAGGTAAAAGGAAAATTAAAGCATAAACGCAGAGCCGTAAAGGTGCCCAGTCCAGAACCCCGTTATCACATCAATAAGAGAACCAAACCACGCCGAAAGATAAACCCAAACAAAAAACCGCTCACAGCTCCTGGCTACCGGCGCCCTTGCCACTCTTGGGAGTCTTCTTGGGGAGCAGGTCTAGAACAGTCAGTGGGGTGTACAATTTTCAGTATGATCGGACTAAACATACTCTGGTGGATGTTCGGCAAGACACCACCCTGTGCGATGGTGACATGGCCCAACAGCTTGTTCAACTCCTCATCGTTGCGGATGGCGAGCTGGAGGTGACGAGGGATGATACGGGTCTTCTTGTTGTCGCGGGCAGCGTTACCCGCCAATTCGAGGATCTCGGCAGCGAGGTACTCAAGGACAGCTGCCAAGTAGACGGGAGCACCAGCACCAACACGCTGGGCGTAGTTGCCCTTGCGCAGAAGACGGTGCACACGACCAACGGGGAACGCGAGACCGGCCTTGGACGAGCGGCTAAAGCTGCATATTAGAATCAAATCGCCAAATTGATGTAAACAAGGGAGCCATACGATTGCGAGTTCTTGCTACCGCTAGCCTTGCCGCCAGATTTGCCTCCAGTCATTTTTGCGAGGTGGTTTTAGAAAGTTGGGTGGGTTGTAGATTCAAGCGGACGCGAAGGTCGTGATAAATGGGCGATGAGTAAGATCGGTTTAAGGGTCTGGTATCTGAGTGCCTGGCCTGTGGGAACGATGGATATTTATAAAGACGCGGTCAGGGTGACGTTGGGCGGCGTAAACGCTCTTTAGATCACCCTCTCGCTTAGCGGGGCAGGCCAATCACAGTGGAGATCATTTTTCGGCATACCCTTGTTCAGCGGGCTGACTGGATGGAACTTCCAAGGAGCTCCGTTCTTGTACTCTGTATTGTATTGCATAAGCCGCGGGCCTGCGGGCACCCTGGCTGCCAGAATCTGGTCCCTTTCCAGATCGGGGTAAGCTGGGTAACTAATGTGCTGTAATGGCCAATACACCGATCTTGGCGTGATCTTAGCCGCCTCCGCGCGACAATTGGCAGTATCGGACGCGTCTTCCGTCATCAAATCATACAGATCATACAATAGCGTGACGGTATTGAAATTCTGCCTTTTTTGTGCACTTCAGGATCAACCGGACTTTCGCGGCCTAGTATAAGTAGCGCGCCTCCCTCATCACCGCGTCCTGCTTATTTCTATTCCTCTCCTCATTCCAATTAATTTCAACAAACACCGCGGCACCAACCACCTCGAATACCCATTCATCAAATCCTACGCCAATTCTCGTCCTTCTCTTAATCTCTAAATTTAAGTCGTCAAAATGCCCCCCAAGGCTGCCGAGAAGAAGCCCTCCACCGGAGGCAAGGCCCCCGCCGGCGGCAAGGTTCCCGCTGAGAAGAAGGAAGCTGGCAAGAAGACCGCCGCCGCCGCGTCTGGCGACAAGAAGAAGCGTGGCAAGACCAGGAAGGAGACCTACTCTTCGTACATCTACAAGGGTAAGTAGTATTGGATCGTCTAGGGAAAAGGGCCTTTGACTCGGTTGCTAATTTGTCGCAGTCCTCAAGCAGGTCCACCCCGACACTGGTATCTCGACCCGTGCTATGTCGATCCTGAACTCGTTTGTCAACGGTATGTTGCGACTTCCTGTAATGAATTCAACACTTGTCTAATTATCGTTGGCAGATATCTTCGAGCGTGTCGCTACGGAGGCTTCCAAGCTGGCTGCCTACAACAAGAAGTCGACCATCTCGTCCAGGGAGATCCAGACCTCTGTGAGGTTGATCCTGCCCGGTGAGCTGGCCAAGCACGCCGTGTCGGAAGGCACCAAGGCTGTTACGAAGTACTCTTCTTCCGCCAAATAGGCTTTTCTTTTCCTTTGCCAGGCTTTTCTTTTCTTATTTTTGCTGCCTCTGTCTTATGAGTGAGGTGGTGGGTTACCGGGTGTTCGCGGGATTTCTAATGCGTCATGGGATGGCTTGATTTTATCTTTTTATCTTATTATTATTTTATTTTTTTACCCCTTGGGCCGAATGTCTTCATGGTTTTATTCGTGACGTGAATGTGGTGTATCATAACTCGGGCTTTGGGGGTTTGTTGGTGAATATCAACTCCTCCAATAGAATGCGATAACCTCCTTTTTAATGCACGATTGGCTCCAAATTGTTCATCGATCATACGATCTACTTGATTGTCACGACAAATTGACGATGAGGTATATGCTATTGAGATTTATGTTGGTTGAGAGATCATTCATCGTCGAGCACCTCCACTTCATCCAGGGCTTCTTCTCGGGTTTGGTGACATCCAGGTGCCGTTTGGTGGACCACGTGGACGATCGGCTTCCCTTGTACAGACGACATGCGGCTGCTCCAGTCCTCCCAATCCTCCCGGTTTCTGATCAGGAACCCTATTAGCATGCTTGGGTCCATGTTCTCAACGTGGAGCCGTCTAAGCCGGCGAGTATGATATGATTCAACATCCTCCTTGGAGTATGGCCCTCCATGCTCATGACAAGGCAACGAGGGCTGGTTACTGTGTGGATCGAGATAAAATAGGTATGAGCCTTGGACCCCGACGAAATAATGCGAAGCTGACGGGCGCCCTCTGTTGCGCTGTCGGATCAGTTTTGTTCTCGCATGTTTCGAATTTTGGTATTATAATACGTACCCTGCTATGCCAACTGATTGGGGCACTCGCAATGAGGCCTTTAGCCCGTCCCAGTAAACAGGATTGACACGACCAATGCCCAACATGGTCCCCAGAAGTATGAGCGTTGGCTGCACAGCACCCGAATCATCACAAGCGATACTCATGAACCTCTCTTCGCAAACTTCCGAAGTATCATTAAGGGCGTACACCCTAATGTTAGGGCTGTCACATCGGCTTGATAATGCTCTGCTTCGTTGTAAGCCCGTGCTTCCACTCAAGCCGCTTGGTGGAGTGCATACTCTATACATCTAGCTGTTGCCGAGGGCCCGAACCATTCCCCCGGATGCTTACCACAGGACTCGGCGCCATGCTTGACGAACTGGTGTATTGAGAATGGTGCATTTGGATGGTCCGCAAACAGACTCAGTACTTTCGCTTCTTCTTCGACCTTTTGTCCATATCGCCAGTCTGGGATGTTGTTAGTAGCACGTCATTTACTCGTTTCAAATTCATAGTTCGTACCGCGATGCAGTTGTAATAGTAACAATGTATTGGCTAAAAGGCTCTGTCCTGATCGGATCATACATCCCCATCCGGCGTCCGATGTGAAACCCTGAGAGTCCACAAGCTGATTTCGTATGCGGACTCTCAGTGTCAGGGACTGGGCACTATCACGGTCATCGGATCTTGGTATTGGATGGAAATTATATCGGTAAGTCATCCAGACCTTGGACTCGAAATCCTTCAGGAACTCTTCTGGCCAGCCATGAAGCGCCGTGGGGTGGTGCGTGGCTCGGTCTTCCCGGCGCTTGGGTTGGGAGGTCTGGTTTGACCCTGACTCTGCGGGGTGCTCATTTCTGCCGTGTGAATGTTCGTGGCCGTCTGCTATGACTTGTTCGTCATGGTTCGCAGGCAAAGTGTCGCTTGTACTATGAGTGATGTATTTTTCCCCTAGACACCAGATAGGCATCGTAGGCTCTTGGTCATTTTGTGGTTCCGGGTCCCAGATATACTGCATGATGCGCTTGCTGTATCTTCCTATGTCCACATTATTCATGGCTCTCTCGAAGGGTGGTCGTCCTGGTCTGTCCTAGTCTTTTGTGTTTGGGTTTTGTGGGAAAAAAGGATAGGGAGTTATTGGCCGAAAATTATTCGTTTGTTTTGGCTAATGCAGCTTGGGTATATGTTTCCGGGATGTTTCCCTTGTTTGAACCACGTAGAGAGAGGAGCGTTGTTTCTTTGACACCCAGATATATATATATATATATTAGTACGAGTGGAGCATCCGAAACATATTTAGAGGGTTCAACAAAAGAGAGACGCAAAAGCGAGAACAACAAGACAGGTGAGCAAACTACCAGGTGAGACCTACAAAGTCAGTAGTATTGTTTGAGCAGCCGCTGTTCGTTGAGCCGCGGGAGGGGGGGGGGGGGTAGTCACGAGAAAGATTGAATGAAAGCCGGCAGACGTCATCAATCAAGGGGTATCTTGGATGTGCCTGTATGTAGCGTACAACCCGAATACCCAACGACACAACACAAATCAATCCAACTATACTTATGTAATACTTCGTAAAACCATAAGCTAAATGCAGAATACGCCAAGTTCAACAACAATGCACTAGAGAGTCATGTATAACTACGGGTAGAACCATGCAAAAAGTGCCCAATGTTGAACAATAGACAAGCGGAGGTGGTGCATTCCATTGATCAGTCATGAGGACCCACTGCCACCCGACGTCAGCAGTGATGACTAATAAGATTATCCTATCAAGTTAGCGGTAGGTACTCTTTACACTGCTCATATAAAAAAAGTATTGATACCTGGAAGGAACTGCGTTCGAATAACTATCATCTCCGTGAAAGCGCACCTTTTAACATGACATAACATCGCAAATCTCCAACCCATCGCCACTTTTCTTCTGTGCTCTGTCAAGTATCCGTTCATTAAAGGAGGAAACCAACCTCCCCCAGACAGGGATCATGGCTCGTTCCAGCAAGGCAAAGGCCCGGAATAAGGGCAGGTCCATGCCGAAAACCCACGAAGGTGCTGTTATTGTCGGTCCAATTAGGCGAACTGCACAACTGACTTAACCGACTACTATAGCCAACCCATATAGCCACCTGACAATGCAGCAAGAAGCACGGAATACCGAGGGGCGGCATTCATGGAAGGTTGGACAGAACCTTCGCCACCAGGCAGTCCACTTCGTGAGCGCAGGTGGTCTGCAACCAGACCAAGAAAACGTTTTCGAACCGACTGGAGACTCCACAATCTCGGACGAACAAGAGGCAATCGCGAAGCCCGAAGAGGCAATACCAGCAGAACACGACAAGCAAGCACATATGTCATTTCTTGTCGACATGGCTGGAGAGTCATTACTTTCCAAAAGCACCCCTACAAGGAACTTTCCTTCACACAACATTAGTCCATGCGACTCTAGCGAAGATGAAATTGTATTTCGTGGTCGCCAGCAGGGGAAAAACTCGTTCCGTCACCTCCACGACACAAGTGACTACCAGTGTCCACCATACGCATCCCCACGAGCGCTTGCAAACCGCAGGGAATCTTTATCGGCCCGAGAGTGTACTGCACGCGGACGCAACCGAAGCAAGTCATCGATTCCGAGCCACGCCAGAACGACCCCCTCCATCGGTAACAGAATGTCGATGGAAAATGCCGATTTTATAGGTTTGAACTATCAGAGTGCACGGGGCAGAAATCGAGCAGATTTCTCAGACGAAGATCATGATATGTTAGCCGATTATATAGCAAACATGGACCAGGACTATGGAGAATCAAGCGACGATGAGCCAGAGAATTCTGACGATCTTAGGCCTGAAGCGTAAGTGCTACCTCGCGAAACCACTCACTATACCGTTGTTACTGACATGGTTCCGCAGCGTCGTGGAACATCCACTGGATGCAAACACATCACCATTGGATGATACGCTAGGCCTCGATAAAACAGCAACGTCAAGTTAGTGCAACGCCATCCTTTCGTTCGGCATCGTTCTACTAACAGCGATCTACCCAGGCTACAGCCCGCCAGCGGTTACCGATGATGAGGAACACCTGGATGTGCGGTTTACGGGACCTTATGTCACCGCGGACGGTACCCTCTACGATGAGAGGCCCCGTAGTCCCGAAGACAGCGATTTTGATTCCACTCTCGAATGCGCGAAGGGCAGTCCACCGGACCATGGATCGCCAGAAGAGATTCTTGCTCTCTTGTACGAATCTCAGCAGACTTCGGCATGGAATGGCACCAAGGGATATACCTCGGCAACTGCATTCGCTGATGCCCTAGAACGTGATCCCTACTACAATCTTGACTTAATGGATAGGGTCGTCTCTCAAAAGAAAAAGGGCAAGGTGAAGCAGCATGCCCTAGATATGATATCCTCCGACGATGAATTTGGGCAGCACTTCGAACAGGCGTGGCACAACGATAGACAGAAGAAGAAGGCCCGCAAGCTGAGGCGAGAGGAACTTCGGTCCCAAGGACTTCTTGGTCGGGGTGCAACCTACCCAGATCTCAAACAGAAATATTCAGACGAAATGGGCCTCGATGACTTGAAAACAGAATTACGCCTCTTTCTATTATCGCCAAAGAACAGGTAATTCCCCACTTGGTTTCCTGACGTGCATGTCTAACAAAGACGCTTCCAGCTTGGCTCTCCCCCCTATGCCCAAACACCGCAGGAAACTGATTCATGACCTGGCCAACCCCCTCTCTCTCAAATCCCAGTCTCGTGGGAAAGGGTCGTCTCGCTTTACTGTGCTAAACAAGACCTCCAAGACACCAAATTATTCCCAAAAGACGATCTCTCGTGTGGACCAGGTGTTTTTACAAGGAAGGTTCACTCATCGTGCAATAAAATATTGGGATCCGAGTGCAAACAAGCCGAAAAGGCATGGAACTCGTCGTTTAGAGAAGTCCGCCACATACGCCGACGGAGATGTTGTTGGCGGCTCAGCTCCCGAAATTGGTGCTGAAAACAAGGGCCGAGCTATGCTGGAACGAATGGGATGGAGCATGGGCACCCCGCTCGGTGCGGGTGGTAACAAAGGGATTCTTCTGCCCGTTGCACATGTCGTCAAGAACTCGAAAACTGGCCTAGGATAATAGAGGACCTTCTTTACGTCTGGCATCTGTAACCGATCAGCAGCCTTCGTCGCATTGGGGCTCATAGCCAGAGTAACCCCCCTTTTGTTGTCATAGGATCCGCTAGTGTATTTCGAACGGTACCCATGCTCGTTGTGCTGCCTAGAACATAGCTTTACTAAGAATAACGTGTTGATATCTAAGTTGATAATATTCCAAGTTAAGGTAGATCTGCATGCTACGAATGTACAGCCCGCGCGTGACCCAATTCTCTAACATGAGAAAACAGCTTAGTTCTAGAAGGGAAAACAGTATCGCAGGTTGTACACCTCATGCCCAAGGACAGCTTTTCAGCTTGTTGGGCTTTCTTGGCGCGTTTTTGCTTCGCCTTTCCTTTTTGCTTCACTGCTGGCTGTGGCGAGCTTTCTAGCCCAAGGTCTGGAAAGCGCTCGGACAAAGTGTTTAGCACATCCGCGCCGTGTGTTGAACTTAGACGCCGTTCAACCGCCTCCCTGGTGGTGTAATCGGCTTCCTCGGAGGATGGAATAGTTTCGGGAACTTCACTTTGGAGCTCCGTGAACTGTTTGTCAATGATTTCACTGGCGCCATCCTGATTTCCAGAGGGAAGGCTGTCGTGACCCTCGGAATTTGAAATAATGTCGTTGGGTTCCTGGCTAGATGATGGACACCTGGACAGTGTAAAAAGGGCTTGTTGAGGCTCAGGGGTGCTGCTCTGGATCGGATTGACCGCTTCGGATTCGCCTTGCTGTTGGGGAAAATCATCCTGTAAGGCGAATAGCCTATCTTCAGCTCTCATCTCCCATTGCAGTTGTCTAACGGCCTTCGTGTGTTTCTTGCTACGTTCGTGCGCCTCGTATTGTTTCCCACTCTTGAAATTCTTGCGACACACGACGCATTCGAAGTGAACTTTTTCCTCGTCGCTGCTGGTCGCTACATCTTCTTCAACGTCACCCGATTTCGCCCAGTCCTGGGTGATATGCTCTCGGAGGTTCGACTGGTTCATAGCCCGGGACCTGGCAGCTTGCGCCGCAACTGCCTGGCGAAGGGTTTCCTGTCTTTGGGCTTCATCCTTGGCGTTGATTTTGTATCGCACATCCCTTTTTTTGACAAAAGCCACAAGCGACCTGACTGCCTCATTGAACTCGCGCATGCCCTCCTCTCTGAGGCGTTTATTCTCCTTCTCCATGAGCCTACGAACTCGCCGATCGGGGGCCTCGGAATAGCGATAGGCGTCTTTCCAAGCAAAGGATTTCCTCGTAGAGAAGTTACTCCAAGCGACATAAAACGGGCGTACCACTTGGTCAAAATCGTCATTGCGGGATCCAAATGTTGGATATTGGATAGGTTCGACGTTGTCCTTACGACAGGCCATCGCTTCTTCTTGGGCAAGTCGTGAGAAAACACCACGAAGTCCCCCATAAAATCCATCTTCTGCGTCCGAAAAGGCCATGCGCGGGCTAAACTGAGAGAAGAGTCCCATGACATCTTCTGATGTTGTCTGCGTAGCATGCGTAGAATTGAATGTCGCGGATGCTCCATCAGTCCCTAGGAAGGCTTCAGAGTGAGAATCATACCACATTCGCTCCTGGGGGTCAGAAAGGACCTCATAAGCCGACTGGACCTCTGCAAATAATTTCGTGGATTCTTCCACATTGCCATAATTCCTATCGGGATGAAGTTCTAGAGCTCTCTTCCTATAGGCCTTTTTGATACTTGACAGATGTTAGCACCACTCGTCCAGGGAGACAAGAGGAGAGAGATCTAAAAAGAGAAAAGAAAAAAGTTGGGAGGGAGAAAAATCAAATAACGGGATAAAGGAAGGAAGTGAAAGGAAGAGAAGTTGGGGGAGGTAAAAGTGTTCTTTCATTGAGTACTCACTCTTCACCAGAAGCATCTGATGTTATACGCAGAAGTTCATAATAATCTGTCTTATTCTCGTGTGTGCCACCATCTGAGCTGCCATGTTGTTGGTTTGACTGTGATTGACCCATATGTATTTATTATCATTTAAAGTTGGAGACATGTACGAGACAATCTCAACATGTACTCTGTAGACGACCTGAATATTGGTAAGTTGTTTGAGTAAATTCCAGGGTATGTTGTTAAGGGAAAGGACTAGGATCATACACTAGTAACTATACTGAAGAATTCCCTTTGTTTTTTTTGTTGTACTGCTTGTGTCTGATGGATATTAATAGTTCGCAGATTAGTAGCGCTTTTATGGGCGGGTGTTACAAGTCCACTTGGGATAAATATGCATGCTTACTATAGCTCTATAGATTCTCTGACAGCTCAAGCGCCCCCACTAACAAATATACTTACTATAATCTCTTTTCGACCAGTTTTTCTTCTTGAAATTACTCGCCCAAATCAAGCCTGATCAGGCTCAGAATTTGATTATGTTACTTATAACTTCTAGTACTTTAACCTGATACTATCTTTATAATAATTCTAGTAGTAATAAAGATGAACAGAATAATCTTTCTCTAAATAATAATCCTAAAATTATTTGAGAAAGCGCCTGAAAGACTATATTTTTATTATATCTTATTTATAAAGGCTAGGAAAGCAGCTAAATAATTACTTATATATATTAATTACTATCTATTAGTAAACAAGTTTATAAAAGACTTTATATAAAGTATCTAGAAGATTACTTACTAGAGTAATAATAATATTAAAATAGAATATATTAAAATAAGTATAAAATAACTTTTTACAGCTCTTTAAAAGCTTATTATTAATAATAAGAAGATTTATTAATAATTCTTTATTATTAAGAGATTAATTAAGAATATCTAAACTATAAATATAATTAATTAAGTAATTATATTCTTTAATATTATAAATTAATAATAAAGCTTCTACACAAGTATCTAATACTAGAATTTATAATATATTATAAT